AAATTTGTTATACGGGGTGTTTATTGATATGTTCATGGTTCAGAATTGATAAATTCGCAAAATCAGAGAGTTTGACGAGTTTGACGAGTTTAACGTGTTTGACGAGTTTGACGAGTCAACGCGGTCAACCTGTGGTCAAAATTAAATTCCGATGGTTCAAAGTTGTGTACAGGGTCTATTATGACGTATTGAGCGTGTTTTTGTTATAAGGAGAGCATCTGAGAAAATGATAAATTCTACCCTAGACCAATGTGTAACATAAAGTGTAATAGAACATTAGGGTTTCGTTTGGGGTAACATGCATTGCTAAACAAAATAAGGTGTTCAATTCAGTTAGCTCCGATTGTTTTTTACCTATAAAATTTGTTATACGGGATGTTTATTGATATGTTCATGGTTCAGAATTGATAATTGTCAGATTCTATATCCTCTTGATCATTGTCAGATTCTTGCACAGATTGATGTCCTACATATGACCAATTATATGAATATCAGTCAAACTCGTCAACCAGAAGAGTCAAACTGGTCAAACTCGTCAATCAAAAGAGTCAAACCAATCTAACTCCTCCTAACTCGGTTTGCCCAAATAAAGTCTAAAGTGTAACACCATACCTTGCTCGTCCTGTGGAAGGTCTACATTCTCATCCGAAAAACGAGATCTAAACTCGAACTCGTTGTCTTGTATCTCAGACCAATCGACTCCTTCCACATTGATTCCTGCCCTCTCCAGAATTCTTTTCACTTTTTCAATTACTTTCTTCTCAACTCTTGCAATTATTCTTTTTTCGGAGTCTTTTACAATCTTCTTCAACATCTTTTTGAAGGATATTTTTTCTCCTTCTTCGTCTTCTCCTTCCTCTTCCTCTATTCTTTCTTCTCCTTCTTCTTCTCCTTCTCCTTCTCCTTCTTCTTCTTCTCGTTCTTCTTCTCTTTGTTTCTTTCTTTTCTCTTTCTTCTTTCTCTCCGTCCTACCACCGACATCGATCTCACGAATGTTCTCATAACAAATACTTGACGGGTTCATCCTCAATTTTTGCATCCAACTTTGCACCAACGGATGACTACTTTCATCCTCATGTATGTTAAAAAACATATGTTCCTCTTCCTCATCTAATTGAAGAACACTTCGAATACCCTGAGAACATTTTAACAGATTTGGTATCAGTGATCCGGATTATGGTCAAACTCGTCAAACTGGTCAAACTCGTCAAACTCGTCAAACTCGTCAAACACGTCAAACTCGTCAAACACGTCAAACTCGTCAAACTCGTCAAACTCGTCAAATGTCATCTATTATAACTAAACGTCAAACTCGTCTGTTTTTTAACATACATGAGGATGAAAGTAGTCATCCGTTGGTGCAAAGTTGGATGCAAAAATTGAGGATGAACCCGTCAAGTATTTGTTATGAGAACATTCGTGAGATCGATGTCGGTGGTAGGACGGAGAGAAAGAAGAAAGAGAAAAGAAAGAAACAAAGAGAAGAAGAACGAAAAAAGTAACTCACCATAAGAGGTATTACGAATCCAGGGAAGTGTCACTGAGCCCTCGGTGTAGGACTGCTTACATACAACTTCAGTATATGATCGATTGTTCTTTCGAAAGTGTATCTCCCCCAAGGAAACCCTTCACAAAATTCCAGATTGTTGACCATGTCAACTGCATCATTTGGAATCACATCATTGTTCTTGATTCCATGGTCTAATACTCCACCTAGCAATATGATTATTGCTAATCTTCTCCTGTCCTCCACATCTTTGGTTGGAGTGGCATACAGCTTCTTTATCGCTTCGGATATTGTCACCTTTGAATGTCCAAACATTTTCATCCGAAACTGGGTTCCCTTACATTTAGCCCAGTCTTGTGGATACTTTTCACAATTTAGGCCGCAGATAATCGCATGCTCGGTGATCGAATATCTGATGGGCACGCCATTCAGAACAAACCATAGTTGTTTCACTTCTCCTTCCAATTTTAGTGCCCGATGTAAGAGGACTGATGCCGGAACCATCTTCAATGTGTCCTTACACCCAAGATGGAAAATATGCCGAAACTGGGATTCTTTTTGGAAATATGTAAATTCTTCATCCGTCAAGGCCTTTTTAAGAGATCTAACAGTCTGATATGGATAACATTTCGTCGTGATCTTAGGAGCCATATGAATGTCCTTAAAATCATACACAAAAGGTACCTGCAAAAACAAATTTAACACTCATTATCAAACTCGTCAAACACGTCAAACTCGTCAAACTCGTCAAACTCGTCAAACTCGTCAAACTCGTCAAACTCGTCAAACTCGTCAAACTCGTCAAACGCCGACTTGTTTGACGAGTTTGAACATTTTTGAGACTCGAATAGTTTGACTTGTTTGACGGGTGCGCTAAGTTTAACTAATATCTACCATGACCATTAATCTATGTTTTAGTGCATCCGACTGTCGACAATATCATCGTGACTCGATTTCTATCCGTCTTTTTCACAAAACACTGTTTCTCACCCAATCCGAAAACCCTATTTCGATATTTCAGTAACAATTTATCATTCAAACCATAGTTTTTCAAATTTTTATTTCAAACCCTATTCTTAACGAAAACTTAATAGAAAATCTAAAACCGAATCTCAATGTATACCCGAAACCCTAAAAAATTTGATTTTTGCGGAGTTAAAAAACTATACCTGGAGGTCTTCGCAAGTAGGGTCCGAAGAGGGGGCCGAAGATGATGAAGACGAAGCCATTCTTCGTGAAAATTTGACGAGTTTGACGAAATCGCACAGAAAAATCGCACAGAAAAATCGCACAGAAAAATCGCACAGAAAAATCGCACAGAAAAATCGCACAGAAAAATCGCACAGAAAAATCAGAGTGAAGAGAAAATGAAGAAGAAGGAACGACACTATGAAGAAATGAAAGTGTCTGTCGAAAAGGGGCAAAAAAAAACTGTTTGGTTTTTCAAATTTTTTTAATTTAGTAACTTCTCAATATTTGGTCTTTTTCCTTCAGATGTTGACACGTGTATTTTTTAAAAGGGGTAACGATGTCTTTTCATTCTTTTACAGTTTTTGTTTGAAGTTTTTTTTTTGAAGGGTATGTGATGTAAGTGAAATCGACATTTAAAGGTATTTTTGTAATATTCCCCTTCAAACTTTGTTTACAGATTTGTTCTGTCTCCTCACTTTAGATTTTGTTTTAGATTCTCATTGTGGGTCCCATGTCCCCCCCGACCATTTAGCTTAATATGTTTCCCTTCGTCTATGGAATATATAGACATTAATTTAATGCCGCTTTCATAATTTTTTTTTTTTTTAGTATTTTTGTCCCGTGGAAAGATCTTTCTCTGCGTGTGTTTTTGTGTGCGTGTGTATATATATATATATGTATATTTACATGTAGTGTTTCATCATCACATATCGATTGAATTTTTCTATATTATATGCACTTTATACGCATATTGTCGAATGAGTGAGTGATATAAATATAATAAACGGTTTCAGGTAGCTTTTTAAGCCTTTCTTTTACACAAATCGAGGCCATTATTTAGTCACGGAAGTCTGAAATGCATTGCATGTGAGTTTACAAACATACAATAATTTCATATATAAATAATATGCTTTCAACGTGAAGTCTGAATATCATTGGTTTGACGTTGAACACATTTTCAATGTGACCATATTGCAGTGAGGTTGATTAAATACAAAAGTTCAATTATCATTATTAACGAAATAAATCATTGATAATTATAGATTACGTAAATGAATTGGTGGATAGACCAATACGGGGAAAAAATGTAACATGATTAGGGGAAAATCATATACAAAAAGAAACCTCGTAGAATGAAGTTAGGATGATAATAGCAAATTAGAGTAATGATTTTGTGGTTTAGCTTTTTGTCTCCTAACATTTGATAAAGTTTTTTTAAAAAAAAGCAACATTTTCTTGGTATTATTTTTGTATATTTATGTTGTTGACTTTATTTTTGTTTATTTTAAAATCCGAGGGATAAGGCTCATGCAAAAGCCCAACTCTTTTAATTTCAAACTTAGCATATATGGGCTTCAAAAATAAATAGCCTATTAGAGATTTTATTTCTCTTTGTATTTCATTTTGGTCGTAAGGTCGAATGCATAAATGATCTTTTGGAAGTAATTGATTTTCAAATTTGTATTTTGTTTTTTTCGGTTTTGAGATTTGTTATCTATTATTGGTCGAATATCTAACGAAATTTTCAAAAAATCAGAAGAAGTCCATAACTCAGTTGGAAAATGATAAAATACCTCCGTATGGAATCAGTTTTGGCTGGTTTTACTGTTCCACGTGATTTGCCGGTTATTACGAGAAGACGAAGAGTTTACTGTCCGAGATATCGTCCGAACTGAAGAGCTGTGAAACAGATTCTCACTATATAAAAAAAAAACTAAATAATCGGATCTAACGGATCATCGAGTCTAATATAATTTGATTTTTATATTATAAAAATATATTATTTTAACTTTTTTATTTTAGAAACCATAGTTCTTCCCATGATTTCATTAATTCATCATCTGCTCTACTATTTCGAACTTTAAAAATTCTTCAAAATTCTCACCCATACTTCAAAAACCAATCAAAATTTCTCTCCAAACTTAAAAAACCAATCAAAATTTCTCTCCAAACTTAAAAAACGTGATATAATTTATGTACAATTACATTATTATGTATTTTGAATAACAAAATGTATTTAACTTTTCAAAAACAAATAAAAGCAAAACCAAAATACAAGTGATCCAACTAATACATGGGGTGGTACGAAATCCCCGTGTAACTAGGGTTCCAAAAACATGGATGTGTTTTTTAAAAACTGTGATGTTGCGAGACGACGATGAAAGAACCGTTGAGGTTGAAGCTTCTGGTAGCAACACGAATCCGACAAAATGACGAGCAAAGCCGCCACCACATTTCTCTCCCGCAAAAACGAACTCGCCCATCTTCACGACTCGTGTCTTCGGATTCTCTCGATCTGTAATTCGATCTCTTCGAGAGAAGGGTTACACATTCACAGTCCGATTATTAAACTGGGTCTTCAAGGAACTCTCGATCTCTGCAACAATCTACTCCGTCTTTACTCGAAATCGGATTGCACCGGTAACGCCCGTAAATTGTTCGAGGAAATGCTCGAGAGGGATGTGGTTTCATGGACGGTGATGATCTCTGCATATACCAAAAGTCGACAACTTGGGTCAGCCCTTGAGGTGTTTGACGAGATGTTGATTTCAGGCATTCGCCCGAATGAGTTCACGTTCTCTTCTGTGTTACGGTCATGTGCTGGTTTAGGACACCATGAATACGGAGCTCGTGTTCATTGCTCTGTCGTGAAGAACGGGTTTGAGGTAAATCCCGTTATATGCAGTGGCTTGATTGATTTCTACTCCAAGTGCGGGAAATTGAAGGAAGCTCGTGAATTGTTTGTATCCGTTGATAATGGCGATACCATCTCGTGGACTACGATGATATCTTCCATGGTTGAAGCTCGGAAATGGAGTGATGCGCTGAAGCTTTACGTTGATATGATTGATTCTGGGATTCCTCCGAATGAGTTTACCTACGTTAAACTTCTTAACGCTTCTTCCTTTCTCGGTTTAGGTTATGGAGAACTGCTTCATGCCCACGTAATAGTTCGAGGGGTATTGCTAAATGTGGTACTAAAGACATCTCTTGTCGGTTTCTACTCTCGGTTCGGTAGAATGGAAGAAGCTGTGCAGGTTTTGAATTCGACCTGGGATCGGGACCGGGACCAGGACCAGGATGTGTTTCTTTGGACGTCTGTGGTATCGGGTTTTGCGAGAAACTCGAGATGCAAAGAAGCTGTTGCTACATTCCATGAGATGCAAGTTTCGGGTTTTCCACCAAATAACTTCACTTACTCTGCTTTGTTGAGCGTGTGTTCCTCGGTTCAGTCACTGGATTTAGGCAAGCAGATTCATTCACAGACAGTTAAAGTTGCTCTGGAGGACAGTGTTGATATTGGAAATTCACTCATGAATATGTACATGAAATGCTCATCAATGGAAGAAGATGCTTTGAGAGTGTTCAGGTCTATGAGTTCACCAGATGTCATCTCTTGGACAACCTTAATCTCAGGACTTGTGGATCGTCATGGGTTTGAGAGAGACTGTGTTTTACTGTTGATGGAGATGGTAAGACAAGGAGTACAACCCAATGCTGTTACCCTCTCTTGCGTTCTTAGAGCCTGCAGCCAAGTCAAATCAGTAAGTCAGGTTCTCGAGATCCATGGATATATACTCAGAAGAAACTTAGACGGTGAGATAATAGTAGGGAATTCTCTTGTCGACGTGTATGCTAGCTCGGGTAAGGTGAATTATGCTTGGAAAGTAGCTACAATGATGGAGTATAGGGATAACATCACTTATACCATCTTGGTTACGAGATTCAACGAGTTGGGTAAGCATGAAATGGCACTAACCTTCCTTAATCGAATGCGTGAGGAAGGGATCAAAATGGATCAGTTCAGTTTCCCTGGGTTTGTCTCTGCTTCAGCCAACTTGGGAGCTCTTGAAACTGGGAAACATCTTCATTGTTATTCTGTAAAAGCCGGTTTTAGCAGTGGCATGTCAGTTTCGAATGCTCTCGTTGACATGTATGGAAAATTCGGTTTCCTGGAATGTGCAAAGAAAGCTTTCAATGAGATACCTGAGCCTGATGTGGTTTCTTGGAACGGGTTGATATCTGGGTTGGCATCAAACGGCTGCATAGCTCCTGCTCTCTCCACTTTCGAGGATATGAGATTGAAAGGAATCCAGCCTGATTCAGTAACTTTCTTGATATTGCTGTCTGCTTGCATCAATGGCAAAATCACCGAAATGGGTCTCGAGTATTTCCGGTCCATGACTGAGGTTCACAACATCGAGCCACAGATAGACCACTATGCCCATCTGCTAGAAATTTTAGGCCGAGCTGGGCGGCTAGAGGAAGCAGCAGGAGTTCTGGAGATGATGCCATTGAAGCCGAATGCATTAATCTACAAAACGTTGTTGAGGGCTTGCAGATTCCATATGAACTTGCCATTAGGTGAAGATATGGCAAACAGAGGCATAGCACTTGCCCCATGTGATCCAGCCTTCTACATTCTTCTGGCAGACTTATACGACGACTCTGGCAAGCCCGATTTGGCCCAAAAGACTCGACACTTGATGAAAGAGATGGGTTTAAGCAAGAAGTCCAGCCAAAGCTCTGTGGAAATTCGCGGGAAAGTTCACAACTTTGTCACCGGAGATGTTGAATCAGCTGAAACAGTGAATGAGATTCACAGAGAGATAGAATCCCTAAAGAGCAAGTTCAAAAGAGCAGGGTATAGATACCGTGATAACGAAGATGCCAGCTACCACAGTGCGAAACGAGCTGTGGCATTTGGTCTTCTGAATGCATCTCCCAAGGCCGTGATTTGCGTGGTCAAGAACAAAAGCCTGTGTAGAGACTGCCATAATTTCATGTCCCTTGCAACACGGTTGCTCAAAAGGTCTATAATTGTAAGAGATGGGAACAGGATTCACACCTTTAAGAGTGGAGAGTGTTCTTGCAGAGAGGAAACATCATTTTTCTAAATCATGGAAAAGTAAGGAAGATAAAATTGGATAAAGTGTATGATGCCCCATTGATCAATTCGAAGATTATTAGCACTTCAACGCTGTCCATGGAAGAACAACTCCGGATCAAAGCTAGAAAACAGCTGAGGTTACACGAGAAAACAAATGTTAACTTTCGAAGACGAAGTAAAACAACAAAATGAACATACCAAAATCACGCGAAAATGGGTAAAAAATGAAACGAAGAAGAAGAAGAAGAAGAAGAACACGAACCGATCATTTTGCTGATGAGAGTGAGCTCATCGCGAGCCTCCTCGAAGAGCTCCTCGACCTGGCCACGACCGAGGCGCTTCGCGATCATCTCCCAATCTTCCTCCTCCTGACAAACCTTGAGACGGTCTTCCTGTAGCCTTCATCCCTCCGGCACGTCCTGGGTCTCCTTTAGGGTTTTGGAGAAGAGATCGATCAACACCTCCATCGCGTTGGGGACCACGTCCAGGCCTACGATCCCCGTCGTCTGCTTCACTTTCCCCAACAATGGCCGTCCAACCGCCCGGAGGAACATCTCTTCCGGCAATGCTCTCTCTCTCTCTCTCTCTCTCTCTCTCTCTCTCTCTCTCTCTCCGGACTCCGGCGAAATCTCTTTAGTGGTTTCAGTGTCAACCCCTCACGAAGAAGGAAACGTTGAGCTCGCAGAAGCAATCGAACATGGACGGAATTATAGAGCTTACCTTATGCGCCACGTGGCATTGGATACTCGGGCCCATAGTCCACGGGCCTGAAATAGTCTCATATTAATTAATGAGCCGTCAGTAGTTGGGCCCACACAGGCTTTTTACTTTTACATGAATTTTGCTATGATCTCTTTGCTTTGCTTTGCTTTTCTTTTTCTTTTTTTCTTTTTTTTTATGGCTTGTTTTTTTTAGATGGAATATGAATTAGAAGCTACCTGAAATTATTAAGAATTATGTTTTCCTTTGGTTCATATGTCCAAGTTTTAAATATATTGTGTTAGTATTTTGAAGTGTTGTAAAATTGAATTGCAAAATATGGTTAATCTTAAACATATTATTAATTTTGATTATATTAAGAAATGCTTACCAAATTATCTTACATGATTTCAATAGTGTAGTTAATCGGATGGAATTAAAAATCATGTCTTCTTCTAAACATAATGATTCTTAGAGGAAATGAAATTCTAAAAAGATTAGTGATAAATTACTCAACAAATGAGAAAACTTAATTTCTATATACTTCAGTTTCACTAGTTAAAAAATAATTATTTAATCATATCTACACATTAAATTTTATGTTTGATACGATATATTAATTAAATATTGTAATTTTAAAAAAACCATAACTGGCCAGATTGAAAACGACATATAATAGATGTTCTAATTTTATTAAATTTTGGTGACGATAATCAAACATATTGATAGACATTTTATTCGTCACGTGATATATTGGTTCACGGTAGAACTTGTATGTTTTTTTATTTTGTAATATACGGAATTTAGTTACCGATAATACAAAATCACATATATGTATCAAATTGTCCATGACATTTACTCAATTTAATTTTTGGTATATAAAATACTTGTAATAACAAGAAAACACTTAAAAGTTGTAATATAAGACAAGAGAGCTCGCAACTTGCATGTCATGAGAATCTGGACCGACCATATTATAAAGTTTCGTCACACCCATTTAATTATATATCTTTAACGACCCTACTTCGATGTTTCGAGAGAAGGATTGTAACTGAACATAGAGTTAATTAGCCCGTAATAATCATGTGAGACTGAATAAAATATATATTTGACCAATTTTCGATTCACGAAAATACAGAAATAATTAAAATAAAAAAAGTTGGTTGACATATTAAATAAGCATCGGTTCAGACCGTGAACCCGAGTCCGGTTATAGCGGCTTTTATCTCACGAGAGAGTGTGCATAACCACATGACCATTTTTATTTTAATTATTCTACTCTCATGTTTTAATTTAATTAATTATGGCTCGTCAGGATAATTAATAAGCTTTGCTGGTTGTTTGTTAATTAGTTGTACAAATAAATTTTGAGCAAACAATATGGCTTTACATATATATATATATATATATAATTTCTATAAATTTTCGTTAGTGCATTTATGAAAAAGGGAAATTTGAGGGGTTGTTCTTTTTTGAATATTGTCGTGAAATTAAAATTCCAAAAATAAATGATAAAGTACAATCCACCAGAAATCTCTATCATATTATATACATGCATGACAAAATTGTAATTTACAGTGTGTTGATTTAAATTGATTAAAAAAAGGCCTCGAGAATTAGAAGGCTACATGTGCACGAAATTAACCCACATATTATTACAACATTTTATTTATCTAAATCATCTAAAAGGCTAAAACTAACAAATTATGTGTATTTATGTGATATAAGATAAGGGAAATGGTAAAAATTACCAAGAAACCCATACAGTAACGTCAGTAAATGATACGGTAAAAAAAACGTATATGAAGGGCAAAAAACTGACTTTTTGCTTCTGACCGGAGATTCATCCTCATCCACCGCCCTCTCCGGCGGCGGAACCGCCGGGTGACCAAGAAGGAAAAGCTCCGACGAAACCTTGCACGTTCGAGAACAAATTCTCTCGATCCCTCACAGTCAAATTAGGAATCAATAGATAATAGACCATCCACATGATCATCATGACCATCGCCACCACCATCATCATCATCAACATCAACATCAGCATCAGCATCATCTTCATCCACATGCGTTCCCTGAATGACGTCGTTTTCCTTCAACGGCGTCGTCGGCGAGAGAATCTCCGACGGCTTTGCAGCGTCGTTGGGCCCGGGTTTCGCCTGACCCGGTAACTCCGGGTTAACGGTTTGGGGCTTGATCCGGGTGCTTCCGGCGAGAGAGTTCCGGTGAGTTGGTCGGGGATGAGTGTGTTCTCCGGTGTATGTGACGACGAGTATGTTTGGATCTAAGTTGCTTCTCTCCACTTGTTTCCTTGCCGAACACCCCTTTGAGCTGCTGCATCTGTAGTAGTTCCTGTGCGATTAAATTGACCCGATCCGTTTAACCTTTTTCTGACCCGGATGTGATTTTCCCGAGAAAATGAGCCAGAAAGAAAGTTAGAGAGAAAGATTGGACCTCGGGTATGGGGAGCCTTTGATGGGTTTTTGCCCGTATTTACGCCATGCCCACATATCAGAAGACAGGTTTTCTTGAGTTACATGGCATATTGTTCTCTTCTGCTGGTTTTTTCTATACAATTTGAAGATACCAACAAAAAAAAAAAAAAGGAAGAAACTTTGAATGCCCTTTGCCGGAAAAAATAGAAAAGGAAGAAACTTTAAACATGGGTTTGATCCTGAAAAGATAAGAACACACATCAAGCTATATATATAATATCACGAAGATGAAAATATTACCGCTTTCGAGATCGAGCAGGAGCTTGAGGTTGCTGTTGCTCTTCTCGTTGACCTCTGAAAACAAAAACAGGAGGAGGAGGAATCGTAGTTTCAGAGCTCGGAAAAACCCTAACCCCTCCGAGAGCTTTCCGAGCTTGCGGCTTATTTCCTTGTTCTCGTTTCAAGACATTGTTGACAGTAGAAACCAACGAAGGCGAAGAAGACGAAGACGAAGACGAAGATGAAGAACAACAACTTGACAAGAAGGGCTTGCGAGAATCTCGAAGCTTATTACAATTGGAAGAAGATTCCATGGCTGTGTTTCTATCCCTGTCGTCTCCGTCAGGGAACGAGGAAGGTTCTTGTCGGTCGAAGCTGAATCCTGCCGCCAAGGAAGAAAGAGGGTTCTCTGGTTTTCGACTGTCGTCGTCGTCTTTATCTTCATCTCCTCCATCACCGGCGATGCTCGAAGCTAAAGAGCCACAGCTTCTAACGACGGCGAAGAGATCCCAATCTTCAGACATCGATCTCTGTGTTGAGTTCTCCGAAAGCTTTCTTCTTTTTCTGTCTGTAGAGAGAGAGATAGAGAGAGAAAGTGCGCAAAGGAGGGGAGCTGACTTTTTTTCTTGAGTTAGAGAGAGAGAGAGATGGCATTTCTTTTCACCATTTATACATTGAAAATTTTCATGTTTATTTTTTTCCCTTGGTATTTTTTCATATTTTATACTCTTTTTTGTTTTTGTTTCGGTGTTGATTGATGAAACTATTTTTTGCCACGTCGGCTCGTTTAAGTGGGAAATATATTTAATTCGTGTGAATTTCGGATTTTATAGTCATCCAAACCTAAAATTTTATTTTTAATAGATTTGATCACAAAACATCTAATATATATATATACAAACGATGATTAAAGTTTTGACGTGTCATCTGAAATAATGCCAAGAATATATATTATAATAATAATTTTTTTATTACACTATTTTTGCATATTCATACTATTCCTCATCTTTGACTTTGAAAATTTGTCAAAAGTAGGGACCACTTTTTTTTTTATAGAAAAAACAATCTCAAAAAAATGCATGCAGATCTCTTTCCCCTCTGCTTTCGGGGCTCGATAATTTGCATAGACATTTAAAATATAATACGATCACATGCATTCATATACATATACATATATGCATATGCTTTTTTTCCTTTGATTTGTCAATTATTTTATATTGATTATTGTTGCATTAATTTTGGATATGGAATATAGTTTTTATTAAAATAACATTTAATACTTGAAAAGGTACAATGGAAACATTAAATCGCTTTTCGGCCATGTTAAAGCATTTTAGTATGGAACAGAAACTTTAAAAAAGTTCCATACATATTGTTTGAGAGAAGCCATTCTAATAAAATCGTTCACACATGCAAAAAAAAAGAGGTATTCTCCGAGTTTAAACGGTTCATATACATATGCATATATATATATACACATATATATATACATACAGTAACGGATTTAGAAACAAATTTAATTGGGATATATACTTGCATATCATAATAACTGGGGATAATATCCATTTTTTTAAAATTGTATTAAATGTAGAGAAATTTGCATATAAATATCTAAACATTTATAAGAATCTCAAATAAATATCTGAAATATTAAACTTGCATATAAATATTTGAACTTTTTAAAATTTTTATATAAATATCTAGACTTTTTAAAATTGTATAAATAAATTCAAACTTCAGGTATTTTTCAAATAAAAGTAGTCAATATTATTAATGAATTTTAGGTTTATTTGAAAAAAAATTCAAAAGTTTGGGTATTTATACAGAATTTTCGAAAAGTTCAAATATTTATATAGAAATTTTTAAAATTTATATATTTATTTGAAATTTTTATAAAAATTTAGATATTTATATATAATTTTTCTTTAAATTTATTTTTTAAAAAAACTTCTTCCTTTTTTCTCTAGTGATTGGATACATGACCAATGACTATAAAGTGGATCCGCCTATACATACTACACATATATATGTGTATGTGTATCTGTATGTGTATATGTGTGCGGTGTGGGAATAAGACTAACATTAACAGTGTTGAATTATATTGGAAGAGAAATTAAACAGATGGATGAACGGTCGTGAATGCGAGAGTACAAAGGGAACAACCAAAGAAGCACTTCAGTTGCAGGAATTGACCGGAAAAAGGAAAGAAAAAAAAAAGGCCAAAAGACCATTCACGAAATCGTGTGATTTTGGCTTTTAATATATATATTTATATATATACGCGGTATACGTAAATAATAATATTATCTTTTAGACTATATGTTATTTTTATCTTCTTTAAAGTCTCTGGATATATATATATATATATATATATATATCACCTAGTATAACAATGGAAAATATATAAGATAAAAACTTATATTTTGAAACTTCTTTTCTTGTACACGCTCCTGTTTAACTGATACAAATACCTTATACCCAAAAAAAAACAATGAAAAATATAGGTTATTACAAAATCATTTTAGAAAAAATTTTGATGATTAGAAGATAAAACCTTGGATGAATGATATAAAAAAATATATGTGGTTACGGGGTTTTCAAATGGGAGGTTTTATATGATGAGAAAAGATGGATCATGGTTGATGATATGAGGGACCCACCACTAGAAAATTTCCCATATTTTCATGTCTCCTCTTTTTTTTTTCTTTCTTCGATGAATAAAAAAAAATCATTTTTAGAATGAGGGATGGGTTTTTCGAAATATTCTACTATCAAAAGGGAACGAGAGAGATGTTGGTTAAGCATCTTTCATTTTTTTTGGTGGGTTAAATGTTGTGTGTATTTACTTATTTAAATTCATTTTTTTAAAATGTTGTGTATATTTCTTTACTTAGATTCGATACAAACATTACTTAAATTCGTAATGTTTGTGTGTGGAGTCTCGAGTTTCTTTCGGTCCAAAAAGTATAGATAGCTACTTATATCCAAATTTAAATAGTTTAACCGGTGAAATGGAGACGTAAAATGTCTGTCCCAACTCGAGTTCGAATCTCAAATTTTGGGAGAAAGCGTATAATCCAAAATACATAGCCGACTTTATGTTTCAGAATTGATATGGGTTTTGGTACATGAGATCCGGTTATCAAAAAAAAAAACTAGTTGGCACACCAAGTTAGCGGCCCATATGAGCTTAGATAGCCGTCGAGTAATCTGAGATCAAGAATGTGGGTGGGATCGGATGCCGGAGAGTGGTTATGATGGATCAAGCTTGAAAGAAATAACCACCAATGGCTACACACAAAGCTTTATTATTGAAGCCAAAATCATATATATATATATATATATATGATACCATTATGTGATTGTCCTTTTCATTGTGATCGTTTGTCCGTTTGCAATGAGCACGTTTCGCTTTCCATCTCGTGGGTTTCGGTTTGGTGATTTGTTGTTGAAAAGTGTAAATTAATTGATAAGTATTGAAAATTAACACAACTCTAAATTTAATATGTGATATGTTTTATAATTCTCAATTTTATATATATAGATATAAAAGGGTGTTAACTTTCCATAATCCTCGAAGGAAAAAGAACAAACAGTCGTTCATCATGCAAATGAATTGGCAATTTCTTACATGAAGAGAAAGTGTATGTATATATGAATATGACATAACATGAAGGGAAAGTGCTGTCGTCCTCATTGATGACCTTTTTCAAATATGTATATATAAAAGCTAAACAATTAACATTCCAATTATTATAATTAAAAAGGAAAATGGCATATTATTACACTGTAAAAAATCAAATAAATATAAGAATTTTAAAATTTTGATAAAAATATAAAAATATTATTAAATTTTTATATTATGAACTTTTTGTAAAATAAAAAATTATTCTTACACTTTTAAACGAATTTAAAAAACCGTTATGAAATTAGATTCTTATTTCTTAAACTACTCTTAAAAATTATTATGGAATAGAAAAAAGTTAAAAGTTTTAATCTAGAAATATATAAGAGTTTATATATATATATGTATATGTATATGAATATTTTATGGTTTGTGTATTTATTTAAATATGTTATTTACAAAAATGAAATTAACATTCCGGGCTGGATTGGGCTTTGATTGGGCCCAAAACTGATCCGGAAAGTCGTCGATTTCAGAGCCCTTGCGCTCGAGATATTTTTTTTTTTTGGTTTTGTGAAATGAAATCTGAATAAATCTCTCTCACGAGCGTTTCTTGTTCTGCTCCTTTCTTCTTCTTGTTCTTCTTCAATTCGTTTCCACCCTTAGCTCCACAGCGAAGGAGGAGAAAGAGAGCGGGATCAGATCGCGATCGGATCTAGGGTTTATCTTTCAGGTGATTACAATTCATGTTTAAGCTTACTTGATTTTTGTGATTTATTGAAATCACAATATTTGTTTTTTGTGTAATTTGACCTTTGGCCGATCTGTGCTTATTTCTTCTGCGATCCAAATTGATGTTGGGTGCGTTTCCTGAATGAATTCCGTATTCGGTTTGTAGCTTAGGGCTCTGATTAGTGATGTTTTGCTGCTCTCGTGTTTGTCATGATTTGTAATTTCGATCTTTGAATTTCTATGTTGTTTTTTTTTCTCAATTCTTCGATATTTGCCGATGAATATTGCGACAAAAGAAGCACGTACGGGGCATGATTATGTGATGTAGTACACTCTCAGAATCTGTCTGCTTTTGGGGGTTTGAGGGCTGTAATTGTTTTGAGTTGACTTCGACTATAAAAGTTTAGTTTTCAATATGATATATTGCTCTTCCTCAGTTCGATTTTTTTTTAATCTATGATACTAAGCTTTTGCTGCACCAAATTGAACCATTTTGGGTTGGTTTCAGCGCTCGGATGCCATATTCTAACCAGAGTTATCTCTGCAGGAACAGCAGGGTATCTGATTTAGGGTTGTTCAAGTAGAAGGGTCCAATGGCTGCATCAGAAGAAAATAGCTCATTGTTTCCCATTTTTATTTTGACAATAATGGCACTTCCTTTGGTGCCTTATACAATAGCCAAGTTATGCCGTGCTGTCTCGAAGAAAGCGAGGACCATACATTGTCAGTGTTCCGAATGTGAACGTTCAGGGAAGTACAAGAAATCCATATTTAAGCGGGTTAGTTCTTCCTCGCACTTGGTGAATATCGATGCTTTGCTCTCTAATACGGGCTCGCTATATTGAATTGCATGGCCTACGCCTCTTGACATGCTGGTTTACTTCTGCAGATCTCAAATTTCTCGACATGCAGTAACTTGACACTTGTGCTGCTCTGGGTCGTTATGATATTCTTGATATACTACATTAAGAACATGAGCCGCGAGGTGATTTCCTCTTCAAACTTTGTTTTTGGTCTGATGCTATATGATATCAATTTGTTCTGCATATTCTTGATAGTTTACCTGTATTTGTTTGGGTGGTCTCAATTTCGGATCTTGAATGTTCCCCTTCTTTTAGTAACTTTTAGTTTCTCATTAACATTCTTGGATGGTACAGGTTCAAGTTTTCGAACCATTTAGTATACTTGGATTGGAACCTGGAGTTTCGGATTCAGAAATTAAAAAAGCATATAGGAGGCTGTCCATCCAATACCATCCTGATAAAAACCCAGATCCAGGTGAGAGTCCTTTGTGTTTTAATGTTGATAATAGCTTATTCCCTTTGTCTGCAGAAGATTGCAGCTACTGTTTTTGCATTCTGGACACTTACTCCTGATTTGCATCTCTTACTGTACAGAGGCCCATAAATATTTTGTGGAGTTCATATCTAAAGCTTACCAGGCTTTGACGGATCCCATATCTCGTGAAAACTTTGAGAAGTATGGCCATCCAGATGGCAGACAGGTTGGGATATTTCAACTTTCTTAGTAAAAATGGATTTTTCATCACATTTACAAACCTTTTTGAAACCAAATCCTGTATTGTGATGCAGGGATTTCAAATGGGCATTGCTCTTCCTCAATTTCTCCTAGACATAGATGGAGCATCTGGTGGCATATTATTACTGTGGATAGTCGGTCTTTGTATTCTCCTACCCCTTGTGGTTGCTGTGATATATCTCTCGAGGTCATCAAAGTATACCGGGAACTATGTTATGCACCAGACACTTTCGGCCTACTATTATCTAATGAAACCCTCTTTAGCACCAAAGTATGTAAATTTCTACCTTTGAACATAGTAAAAATGCTACACGTGTGGCAAAAGTAGGTTGCGTTTTTTTATCATTTGACATGTATCTTCGTTTTCCAGCAAAGTTATGGAAGTTTTCACCAAGGCAGCTGAATACATGGAGATTCCTGTTCGTAGAACTGATGACGAGCCTCTCCAGAAGCTCTTTATGTCGGTCAGGAGTGAGTTAAATCTGGACCTGAAGAACATTAAGCAAGAGCAGGCTAAGTTTTGGAAACAGCATCCTGCGATAGTCAAGGTGATCTTATCTATTATTCAACTGTTGTACAAAGTTTTATTGCTGAAGAAAAACTCAAATACTTAATCCTTTTTTTTTCCATTTTTCTGTGCAGACCGAACTGTTGATTCAGGCTCAGTTAACTCGTGAATCAGCAGTCCTCTCTCCAGCTCTGCTTCATGATTTCAGCCGTGTGCTAGAGCTTGCACCTCGCCTTCTTGAAGAGTTGCTGAAGGTAATTTCTTCTACAGAGTTGGCTGACTGCTTGTCCTGTTGGAACCAATAGTATTATTAACCAAAAACTAAAAATGTTACATGTAAACATTTTTTTATTTAGTAATTTCGATACCCATCTTTTTTGGCCGCACCTATGTAACTTTGTAAGGTTCCTGCAGATGGCGGTTATACCTCGAACTGCCCAAGGGCATGGATGGCTGAGACCCGCTATTGGAGTAGTGGAGCTCTCTCAATGCATTGTGCAGGTGTTCAATTTTTTTCCAATCTTTACTGCATTATCTACTATTTCGTCTTCTAGAAATGTATGCTCTTTCAATAGATACTTTTTTTCAAGACAGAACGAAGAACTGGCTTTATGTTGTCTCTCTGAAAAAGCTGACTTTGTAGCTCAAATACCGTAGGCCGTTCCCCTTAGCGCGAGGAAATCATCTGCGGGATCTTCTGAAGGCATTGCTCCATTCTTGCAGCTTCCTCATTTCAGTGAGGCCATCATCAAGAAGATATCGCGGAAGGCATGCTGTCATTTATGTTTATACTCAGCAAAAAACTGGGATTCAGTTTATGTTTCGTCTTTTTTTGTTGAACTCACCCGATGTCCCTCTCTCATTTCAGAAGGTCAGATCATTCCAGGAGCTACAAGAAATGAGCTTGGAAGACCGGTCTGAACTGCTCACCCAGGTTGCGGGATTGTCGGCTTCTGATGTGGCAGACATCGAGAAGGTTCTAGAGATGATGCCGTCTCTGACAATAGACATAACCTGCGAGACGGAAGGCGAAGAAGGCATCCAAGAGGGCGACATCGTAACCATTCAAGCTTGGGTCACTCTCAAACGACCCAACGGCCTAATCGGCGCCCTTCCTCATGCCCCGTTCTTCCCCTTCCACAAGGAGGAGAACTACTGGTTCCTTCTCGCAGATTCCGTCTCGAACAACGTCTGGTTCTCTCAGAGAGTGAACTTCATGGAAGAAGCAGCGGCCATAACCGCCGCTTCGAAGGCCATCGGGGAGACGATGGAAGGGTCGGGAGCGAGCATAAGGGAAACGAACGATGCAGTGAGGGAAGCGATAGAGAAGGTGAAAAACGGGTCGAGGCTGGTGATGGGGAAATTCCAAGCGCCGGCAGAGGGGACGTACAACTTGACTTGCTTCTGCTTGTGCGATTCGTGGATCGGTTGCGACAAAAAGATGCCGATGAAGGTGAAGATTCTGAAGAGAACCCGGGCCGGGACCCGTGGAATGGTAACAGAAGAGGGAGTGATGGCGGAAGATGGTATGGAGGAGGAAGAGGAGATCGAGGAAGAGGATTACGACGATTATGAGAGCGAATACAGCGAAGACGAGGACGAGAAGAAAGGAGGGTCGAAGAAGAAGGCGAATGGGTCTTTGAACAAGAAAGAGTCGAGTTCTGAAGAATCGGGTTCGGAGGAAGAGTGATGGAAGGTGAGGTTAGAACACTCTCTCTCCAAGGACCTTTTTTTTCCTAATATGATGCTCGTTTAGACTCGGTGGTGGTTTAGCTTTTTTATTTGTACTGTCAAAGTTTTTTGATGAATTTTTTACGACTTGGATATTCATCACAGAGGGGATATAATTCTTCTGAAATTGAAAATACCGAATTCAGATACGAATTTATCATTAAAAACCGAATCTGAATTGAATTCAAATAAAAAAACAAAACCGGACCGAATTAAATTCTAATTTAAAAATCAGAATGGTTATAATTTATCTAAAGCTAAAATAAATGAACTTGAATTTTACTTGAGCGATCCACTAGTTATAATTTTACATGTTTAATCTGTAGATGGTAGAAAGAGAAGATGAATCTTCTGTCTTCACGTTAATGAGCTTAAGCTTCCAACCACATGCGAGCTTCGGAATTTGGACATCCCTTCTCTTGTCTGAAACTAAAGTGGCATTAAGCACTGATACAGTGATCCCCGTTTCAATAGCTCATAGAGAAGCTCTCAAATCAAGAAGCCGTTTGATCAAGAAGCTCCAATCTCTGATTGATTTGAAACAGGAACTTCTCCTTCTTCTTCTTCTTCTTCTTCCTCGCTGTGATTCTCATTGTCTGCATCTGTTTCCTCTTCCAACACTGTTTCAGCTTTACTGGTTAAGTTGTCATCAGACGCACTGTCATCATCGCTTACGCCTCCTTCACCATCGCTGAGTTCGTTTGGCCGCTTTGCTCGAACCCTAATGCGCTTTCCTTTTAAGTATCTGTATTCCCACTTCGGTGGAGGATATTTCTTCATCAGTTTCTCGTATTTGTCCATCATATCTAGCTTCTGAAACACTCTACCCACCATTGATACGATCGCCACGTTTGGTTTCACTCCAAGCTCCTCCATGTCAGCAAACACCTAAAGCAAATTCAAAATGAATCTTAATGAATCGAACGGACCAGACAGGACAGCATCTCTCTGAAATGTACCTCGAACAGCTTGTGGTACATCCCTCTCTTGTAATAGATGGCAATTATTTTGTTGAAGAACTTCCGTGGAGTTCCTTCAAGGTGGTCCATGAAGATTTTGTTCCACAACTCCTCGGCTTCATCGAGCCGTTCATCCTCGGCTAATGCATTTAGTAACGTGAAGTAAGTTCCCATCGTTCTCCCTTGGCCTTTGCTCAGCATCCATTTCGTCACCTACAAAATCCCGTTTAGGGTTTAGGGTTAATAACTAATCCATAAAGCTCAAACCATCTTGAAGACAAATGGACGAAACAGGTTTCCATTAAAGTACCTGAATAATCTTCTTCCACTCTCTTTGGTCTTCAAGTGTCTGAAGTGCCTTCTTGACAGTGACAAGAGGGAACTCTAAGTCCCATGCAATGAAAGAATCAAGTGCCCCATAAACTTCTTCTTTCACATTTGACAATCCTTTTATCTGTAAAAAAACAATTTCAACTTCTAGACTGTCCGTAGAATGAATTCATCACCGTGAGGTAACTTCGACTGTTCATCGCAGTTCATGTTTAAAATCTTTATCACTCGATACCGATCAGAATTCCTGTTAATGAGTTATAATGGCAAGAAAGGAGATGAAATGGAAGGAGAGGGTATACACAATCAATGAGCTTTGCCGCCTTGGAGACAGTCCCGATTCTCTTCCTCGTTTTCCATACTCGAGGATATCTTGGCCGTGGACCTCTCGCTGCACAGATCTGAAGACAGAATAGAACACATCCCCAAAACATGTAAAAACTCATGGGGGATTTCGGGTTTCCCTCTTTTTGATAAACCCTAGTTTTTCGATATTCGATGAGAAATGCTCATAATGGAAGCAAGCAAATACACACCACGACATTGTAAGGCCGCTTGAAAACCTTAGCTGAATCCTTTGTTGTCTGAGGAATATATGGAATCGAATACCTCAAGCAAAGCATCCTGAGCCATCATCAAACATGAAGGAAAAAAAACAAAGCTTTTTTTACATTCAATTCATGAAAACTGCGCAAATAACACAGCAAGTATCAGAAGGAGATCGTAAATGGAATCGCCATAAGTGAAAATTCATCACTCTTCACTGGCTGAGACTGAGAGTTCCTACTAAACCAAAATCATTTCGTGTAATAACGAAAAGGGTTATCCATATCCACGATGAAGTCATCGCGCTCCGAGATAGATGAAATCGCGGAGGTATTTTCTCGGTTTCACCAGGCTGCAGTCGGCAATTAAACGTGTGTTTCAACAGGAAAATGGAATAGACGGAGCACTGTACCTACTTATGAATCGAAGGAGAGGAGGCCTTTGCTCACCTCCTGAAGCACAAGCAGTTCCAGAATCGTAGGCAGTGTAAAGAGTTTTCTCTCTCGCTCCTCACTTTCCCTCTGATTTTCTCGGCATCCAAACAGGCGGGGTGCGTTTTTCGGACAAACTGAAAGAGGATAAGTAGACGACGTCGTTTATGTGGGAGAAGAATTTTCTTAGAGATATTTATTATCAACAATTTCTAAATGACCAAACCAAAATACATTGTTTCTTAGGATTTTTGTAAAAATCATATAATTTTTTAAGAGTACTAGTTAAAATTCATAAATTTAAAATTTATTTGTAAATCTATAGGTAATAAATTCGTATATTCATATAGAATTTTCATTAAAAAAAAAACAAAAAATGATAACTAGAAGTTTAGAACCGATTAGATTAGATCGGTTTAATCAGTTGAACCGGCTTAAATCCAAGATCTGAGGGCTGTTTATTCCATCTCTGTGTAGAAGTCTGATTCTATTAAAACCCAATAAAATCCATAAAATCAGATATAAATAAACGTTGAACTAAACCAAACCAAATCAATTTTTACTCGGTTTATAATTTACCGAACCGAATAACTCGCACCCAATAAAAATCCGAAACGAACACCCACCCCTGCCTTGCAAAAACACTCTGATTATTCTTAATGCACTTACAGAAAGTTTTGTAGGGTATTATCATTTATTACCTCAAAACCCCAAGTGAACACTTCTCAAAAAACTTGGAAGTTACTTTGAGACATAAGTCTCGTAAAGAAGCTGAGCAGCGAGAAGATCCACAGTTCCCGAACCTACGGACTTAAAGACAGTTATGTCGGTTGAACTCTTTCTCCCTGTCTTCTCCCCATTCATCACTTCAACCAATTTTCCACCAACCTCTTCCTTCTTCATCACTCCCCTTTCAAACGCTCCCACTAATTCTCCCGCTTCCTCCATCGCCGCCTCATTATCCACAAACACTCTCCCTCTCCTTATCGCCGCATCGTCACATTCCCTCATTTCGCGACTAAAGGATCCTACCAAATCTAGATGAGTTCCCGGTTTCAGATTCTTACCTTTGATCAATGGAACAGTGGAGTTTGTCGCACAGCTTATGATGTCGCCAATTGGAATGATCTCGTCCAATGAATCGCTGCTCTCGAATGTTATCTCCTTGTGTTGATCATCGCCACTGAGTGTTTCAGCCAAATCCCGCGCCTTTTGCGGAGTTCTGTTCCATATGATCACTCTTTTCAAGCCCGGTTTAGCGGCTAAGTGTGATTTGATCAAGTGTGGTGCCAAAGCACCAGCGCCGATCATGATCAGGACCTGGCTATCATCCCTGGCCAAGATCTTGGAAGCTAAGCCTGATATAGATGAAGTACGATAAAGGGTCAGCACGGTACCGTCCATCGATGCCAAGGTTTGGCCTGTGATGGAGCTGAAGAGGGTGTAAGAAGCGTGGATTCCTGGTAAGTTCATGGAGGAGTTTTGAGGGAAGTGGGTCACGAGCTTGACGCCCATGTAAGGGAGGGAAGAGGAAGATGACCATGAGGGCATGAGGAGAAGTGAGGAAGGTGGTGAAACGGTGTAATTTTGGCGGACAGGAGTGGTGATTGTGGAGGACAGTGTCGGGAGATTGGTCTGGAAGTGTCGGATCAAGGACTCGTGTGTGAGAATCAAGGGAAAAGTGTCGGAATTGATGAAAATTGGGGATGTTTTGGCGACTCTGGAGTCAATGGGGTTAGGGTTAGGGTTTGGAGGTGATGAAGCCATTGATTTTGCGAGATTTCTCTCAAGGTTTGTGAAAGACTGACGAGGGCTCTGTGTTTGGGAGAGAGATGCGGATTGATCTTCTTGACTTTGGTGTGGGCTTAAGCAGCAGTCAATGTTTGATCAGAAGGGCATTTGGGTAAATATCGGTCAGACACTTTCACCGGGGAAGAGTAGCTCTTCCGCTTGCGCCCACCAATCATCGTCTTCCTCCTCGTGAATCTCCTGTGTACCAAAAATAAATGCATATAAGCCAGAGATAATTAGATAGATCTAATCAGATACCAACAGAATAAGCATAATTTAATTCAAGAATTTCTCTCTCTAGAGTCTCTTTTCGCCAAAAGTAAAGTGTTTTTTTTTTTTTTTTTTTTTTTTTTTTTTTTGCTATGGAGGGTTGCACATGTGAATCAAAATTAATAGCTCATGAATCTGAATGCAGTCGTTAGCTGTATAAATAGATGGTACATATGACCTGTAGAACTAACATCTACTCTTGGGTTGACAATTTACTACATATACATAAAGTTCTATTCAGCGAGCAGAGCACCCAACAAGAAGCTATGAGCCTATGACTGGTTCTTCAGTTCTAAAATACTCATTTAACTGATTCTCTATGCAATTTGTAATCAAACCTTTATTGATTTGATGTAAGATATATACAAAAAGGGTAGAAAGTAAACTGACCAAGCTATGGAGTTGCAGTGCCTTGGGTTTATTTTCAAGATCATCGGCGAATTTTACAGCTTCAAGCCACCATGAGCCTTTGCTACCACTATCAAGACCGGCTTCAGTTTCCGTGTAATCTTCTCCTTCAGGAATGCAACTGTCTGGAACTGAACGTATCGGAGATCGATAATCTGGTGAAAGAGATTAGTCAGTTAAGTGACCTCGTTAATGCAAGGTAGACGGAACACAATTTCCTGTGCAGACTTTTTACATGGAAAATATAACAGCTTAGTACACACCTCGGCAGTCTGGATCGTAGCATTTCTGATAGTAGACTCCTCTTCTAAGATCAACAATGTACATCACTGACCCAATGAAAGTTTGGTCAAATCAATGTTAGCGACAAGCTCTCCCAGAAAGCATCAAAATAATCTGAGAGAAAAACATGATAGAGATAGAGACCCAAGGACATTGCAATAGTGATTGAAGGGATCCATATCTATCCTATTTAGCAATATTTAGAATATTATGTTTAATTTGGAGTGATTACTATTCATGATTTGAATTAGTCTTAATTGTAATATTTAGGTTCTTAGCTATAAAAGAGGTAGTCTTGAAGAACTAGGTATCAAGGATTTCCATAGAGAATTGCATCGGCTCAGCCGAAGGGCAAGGGATTACTCCTTGTTGGAGGATATTTCGTACCCTTGTGTTTCTTTCTAGTTGAACTAGTTCTAATAAAGTTTTTTACTGTTTTATCTTCTTCTAAACTCTCAACTCCATCATAACACAAGTTTGTGATAGGGAAGCTAAAAAAGGATTCTACAGTTAAATACAGAATGACAGAAATGAAGAGCATAGACAGACTGAATTACCGTGGTTGCTTTTATGTTCCCTGCCTATTCGTTCGCAGTATCTGCTGCTTGACATGCTGTAAACAATCAGTCCGTGTTCTGAGAACCAATACCAGCAGCGTATCTTCCCTGAAGTCATTGCATATTTGTAAAAAGATGAGTAGGGAGATTATCCTTGAATTCAAATTCTTGCAAACGAAGCACAAACACAACCTGTGACATTCCCAGTGGAAGCAATCGATTCTATAAATGTGTCCAGGAGTGGGAATGGGGACTTCCCCTCACAGTAAGATGCAGACATGTCATTTAAGCAAGCATCAACTTTGAATTTCTGAGAGACATTTTGATGTCTTACGAGATTGCTATTGTTCACCTGTGTTATCAAAAGAGTTCACATCAAGGGCTTGGCGTAAAATTATGGTGATTCTTCTTAAAATGAAGAAGCTTGTCTCAAATTTATGTGAAGAAAAAAATGTTTTGATGCCAGTGTACAAGTGTGAAGAAAATAAACTTTTGAAAGTTACCTCAGTGTCAAAGCGAAGTGTCTTCATGCAATCTAATTCCATTTTGCAAACCAGAAGCTTCTCACAATCTGAACCCAGGTTGCAGATTAAGGATGTCATAAATACATCTTCATCACCCTGTACATAATTTTGGATTTTCTTAGATACTCCACAGACTATGAATCTGTAAAGCAACAAATGGCCAGTGCTGATACAGTAACAAAACAGGGAAATAAAACAGAAGTCAGCACATGCCACAAAAGGAAAAAAGGGTCAAGGCTAATAGAGGGACCTATGGGAAGGTGAACATACCATATCCTTACATTTGAACCGCCTTGTCGGTAGAAGAACTGATGTTTTACCAGCTTTTGAAGATAGGGCTAGACGGAAACAACGGTTTCTGGAGTATACAGCAGTATCCACAAAAAGCTGGGATGAAGAATCATTAGACTCTTTGTGAACAAACAACTTTTGCAATCTTCCATCCTGTTCCTTTGTACTTAGAATCCGTGAGCATATCTGGAAAAACACATCCCAGTAGTTACTTATGAAAGGAATGAAATAGAACACACCGTGAACGTTCTTTGTTTTCCTTTCCTGCTTTCATTGAATTATTAAGACAAAAGTGAGAGTCCTGTATAACATAGCCTTGCAACTTATAAGCGCTACCAAAAACACCTTTCATGCGATAGATTGCAAATGTTCAAGCATACCTCTCCAACAAAAGCACCGACATGTGAATTGTCCTTAAAGGCAACCTTTGGAATTCGGATAATTAAATGACGGGAGAATTTATCTGCATATGATGGTTTAAGTATGAGTCAGGACAGAAAAAAAGAAACATTTACATGTGGAAGAATCTATTGCCAAAAGTAAGCAACTCAACCAATGCAGTGACAGAGAAAGAAAATTAAAGGAAGACAAAGCTAGTACTTGGAAACAAGAAAGCACTTATAGTCAGCGAACTTCTAGCTGCTACTGTCACCCATGCACCATAAGATTCTGTTCGCTATTAATTTTGATTGAGAAGCATCAAGCAAACAGATAAAATCATTGAAGTTTGAACTTGAGTCAAATTCATGCATAGTTGAACTGTTGAAGGAATCCATGCATTGATCAATTTTCTATTCTACCTTTAGTGGAGGAGTCCAGCTCCACAACCCAATCCTCCTGGCCTTTAATAGAGTATTTCTCACACAGGGCCTCCATGATGACAGAGATCAAGATATCAACCATTTCATCAACATTCCTTCCTGCATTTTCTTTCTGGCTGAACTCCAAATCAAAATACATATGGCATGGCAAGCCCTGGAACAGCATAACAAGTCCTTGCAGTGAATCGAAAGTTCAGATGCGCATCATTACTGTGAAATCAGAAAGAAATGCTTTTGCAAGAGCGTCTAAGAACAGCTCCATATACAACAGCTGAAAAAGTTATACCTCCTGTATCACTTCATAATGGTGTCGATGTCTTGGATCTATGGAATTGTACCTGAGGTATAAGAATCAAACACATGACAGACGTACTCCATGAGTGTAACACTAAAGTGATCAAAAGAAGGGTAGAAAAGGACCTTTTCCAGAATTCACCATATGTTGAAACCAGAAATCTCCTTTGGCCACTAAAATGGTCTTGATAACTAAAAACCCGTACATTTTCATGCCCTTTTGTGAACTTCATTGCTTCATCTTGTCGAGGAAATGTAGCCCATACTCCCCTTCTGAGCAAATACGAGATCATACCATAAAATACTCTAAAGTAAGATGACCTTTTATGTAGAATTGAAAGGCAGAATCCTACTATGCATAGATACCTGAAGTTTGATTCATTTTGTTCACTAAGATCGATACGTATTTCATGCAAGAGCCTTAGTAAACTTAATGGTCTTTTTGGAGGAACACCGTTTGGAGACCCATAGAACACAACGGGAGATATCTGCTTCCCACCACTCAATTTTGCTGTCCTGGAACCAGACTGAACCGACACAAGACAACTATCAGACTTCAATCCAACAACAATGTCAGCAAAGCAGTTGCGTATATTCCTATATTCATTATCATCATCCACAGCGAACAGAACAGATAGAAATTCGGCTCACGATACATGCAAAATCTACACTTACATACCTCACCACCCAATCCAGGCGACGAACTTGCGGCGGAGTATTTACGGGTCTCAGGTGTTATATTCTCTTTATTCAACTCTTTCTTGCTCCGTTTCCTTTCTCTCATAGCAGATGCTGAAGATACAACAGAAATACAATCATAGTCGATCCGAATTCCAGTTTCGGTTTCTTACATTGAGGAATCTCATCAATACAAATGCACAGGACAATCCGTTTGAAGAACTCGCGATTCAAAAGCATCTCGGGAATGTGACAAGCACATTACAAAATTCAATCACACCATTGATTTCTCTCCGAGCAATCAAACGATAATGTGGAGAAAAAGCAGAACGCGAGAGAGAGCTCACGAGGAGGGGATATTCCACATTTGAAGCACCGAAACAATCGATCAACGTCATCCATGGCGTTCGCACCAGCTTTCTTCGACATTTTTCCACTCGATTTTTCTCCTTCCCTCTTCTGCTTCTTCTGAGTTCAAAGCGGGTTTTCGAAATTTTGACCCAATTTCGGTACGCTTGAAACCCGCGAGACGGGAGTTTTGAAAAAAATCTGACTGCCACGTGTGCAGAATCTTTTCTTTCGTCAACGTGTCAGTATTCTGTTGGTTGACTTCACTGCACTCGGTGCACAGTATACATGACTCCCGTTTGAGGATTAGAGATAGAGACATCGCGCTGTTTAAAGAGGCCATCCGTCGTTCACACGCCGTGTAGTTTCTTTCTTCCAGATAAAAAACGGCATGACGTTGGACAGTAATAAGCTACACCCATTTATGTAGAGCATGCCCAATATAGTGATGAAGGGTTCGACTGGTTGTACCGCAGCGGTTGTGGTTGCAGGTGGCAACGTTTTCAGAACGTTTGATAGCGATTATAAATGATTAGTACTGACTGGTTGAGAAGTTGCTGTTGGTAACGATTGCGGGTGGGTGCAGTTAGAAATAAATGGTTCATTACGGTTGCGGTTGCGTTTTGATATAAATTGTTTAAAAAAAATATTATTTAAAAATAATTTTTTATAATAGTTTTAATTAAATTTTTCGTATCATTTGATAAAAATTATTTACTAAATTTATAATAATTAAATAATAAATTTAAAATATAAATATTATCAATTTAATTTATTTTTAAGTAAAAAAATAATTTTATTATAAAAATTATTAAAAATAATCATTATTAAACTTAAAAATTATACTATTATATTTTTTTTATTAAAATATAATACTAAAAAATAATATCAAATCATAACACTAAACAAAATCATCACCAATATATATATATTAATGTTTTATATAATTTCTAATAAAAATATTTTAGTTTTTTTGTCAAAACGCCGGAAACCGCTATCAAAACGCAAGTTGGAAGCTGCGATTAGAAAACACAAGTTTGGTTGCGGTTGCGGTTCAACCAGTCAGTTTTTAAATCGCCCGCAACCGCCGGAAATCACAACCGCTCCGTTTGCGGGTGGCGACGGTGCAACCAGTCACACCCGAAGTTCATTCGGATATAGAGTTCAACGCAATACAATGAATGGCTGAATGCTTACTCGAATGAAGACAATGACGTTATAGGACATTGTAACTCTTCCAATATTGTCACCCATGGTAGAAAATTCCTGTATCGAGTTTGTGTAGAGGTGTCAAACTCGACTCGACTCGCTTCATTTTGTGATAAGTCGGTTCGTTATGAGTTTAATTTGTCAAACTCGTTTTTAAACTATGTAAAAAAACTTTGGTTCATCTTGATTAATCAATTTCTCGAATTAAATGAAGCGGCTTACAAGTTATAAAAAAATATAGTATTATTTTATTATTTATATCATAAAAATACCAAATAAAATAATATTTTAATATACAATTTAAACATTTAAATATCAGATATAATTATTTAAAAGAAATTATATATATAATAACAAAAAATAAATTAAATTATAATTTTCAATAAAGATAAAAAAAAAATACAAAAATATATAAAATATATAATTTTTAAAAAACAATTTATCTCTCGAACTGTTGATCGAGCTCGTCAGACTCATGGACTATGACGACTTAGTTCATTAGACTCGTTTCTAAAAGAAATACATTCTTTTTTTTAAATTGATTCACAATATTTGGATCGATCAAGAACTGTTTTCGATTAATCAAATTAGATTACAACTGCCATAAGAAAATTGACAATACTTTATTCCTAAAGAAAGTAGGATCTAAATTACGCCTCTATTGACCTATTTTTTTCACAGATTTGCAAGGTTTTTACGAATTTGATGACCCCAAAAAAAATTGATGGATAGGGAGCCAAAAAAGGGGGAAATATATACGAAAATATCTAAAGATAAAAACAAAGAGTGATATCTCCATAACACTCCACTCCACCATGCATATGTTGTCTCTGGTCCTCTGGATAAGGTGAGGTTACCTTCCCTCTCGTATCCCCAAAAAAAAAAAAAAATAGACGATGAGAGCTCTGTGTTGCACAGAGAAACCGCCGCCGCCGCCATCAACATCATCACTGCCAAGAGCAAAGGCCCAATCTCAAACCCCTTCAAGAACCCTAATCCCCAAGAAAACAAACAAACCCAGAGGGGAAAAACTCCATGCAAATCCAAAGGGATTCGCCCCAACGCCGAAAGAACCTTCTAGAAGGTCCGACAAGCCAATTGGGTCGGACCCAGACGACCCTCCCATCCCAGAGGAAGTGTTCCATAAGATGATGGTGAGGATCGTGGTGTCCGTCGGGACGCCGCTGGCGGTGGGAGTGGCAATCCTGAAAATACTGGGGGCGATGAAGGACAGAAACGTCTGGGACGTGCCCATGTGGGTCCCGTTCTCGACGACGCTCGTGACGTTTGGCGCGTCGGCTCTCGGGATAGCGTACGGCAGCTTGTCCACGAGCTTGGACCCCAACCGGAAAGGCTCTCTTCTTGGCCTCGACGAAGCCAAGGAGAATTGGGTTGAGATGTGGAAACAGGACTAGTTTTATTTTATGATTTATCATACCTAATAATGATGATGATGATGATGGTTAAAATTTCTAAGTATTTTTTTTTATTTTGTATATTTCAGATTCTTGATTATGGTTTTGATTTTCTTGAAAAGCAAGTCGTTCATTAAAAAAAAAACGGGGGTTGGTGATATATATATTTTGACAACAATATTAACAAGACTAGTAAGAACAACAAACAATTGTGATCAATCAATAATCATATAGGCAATAATATGTTTATATCGGTGGGTAAACGCGTATTTTACTGAATTCAAGAGGGAAGACATTCAAAAAGAATCGGAGAAAATTTCATATTATTATAATTCAAGTGTCGTTGAACTTGTTGCGGTGTTGACGAAGCACAGTCACCACAAGACTTCTCCTTGTTCGGACACTCCGATAATTGAACGGGTCGTTGGGTCGAATTCTACCCGACGACCATACGGATTCACTCGTCCAATCAACCTATTTTATTTGTTTTTAATAATATAAAAATCTCATAGAAATATCTCAATTTTATAAAATATTCGAAATAAATATTTAAAATTTTAACTTGATCCAATAATACATCAAATATTAAAATATTCCAAACTGATATCTCAAATGTTGAAATGTTCCAAATAAATACATTAACTTATTAAAACGATAACAATTCTCGACATTTATTCTAACGATAATGTATAAAATAAGTATTAATTTTCAATATCAGAAATGGAACTTATAAAATCGATGGCAATTCACAAATTCGATTTTGACGACGATATATAAATTAAGTGTTAATTCCAACATAAAAACAAAATGAGGTTATAAATTGTTCTCGATTTCGTGAGTTGGTCTATTTGAAATATTTTCACATTTGAGATAGCAGTTTAGAATATTTTAACATTTGATATGTCAATCAGATCAAATTAAAAGTTAAGGTATTTATTTGATATATATTTTATAAAGTTATGACATTTATAAAATATTTTAATTTAGAAATCTTTCTGTTAATTTTATGAGGCAATTTGACAGTCTTCTATTCTCTTCTCTTCTCAATTATTTTATTTTTGCATCAAGAAATTATACTCTAAACTAATTATACGGGTAATCCGGTTGTTATTGCCCGGTTGTACTCAATAACTCCGAACAAAAAAAAAACCCGTAAAACTTAGGATTCCAAACTTTGAACTATGGTTTGAATTCAAAATTTCTGTTTGGTTTTAAGATTTTGAATCAATTTAATATTTTAGGACAAATTAAGAAGAATTAGTGAAAACAACACAGTGAATTAAAAAATTATATTGGTTTAGTAAAATTAGTTGGAGGGGAAGGTACAATACTATTTTTTTTTTAATGTTGGGAATTAAATCATAATCCTTTGGATGCGGTGATAAATTTTTCGGTCTCACGTAATAGCCTGAAAAAAAAACAAAATACTAATGTTTTGTTCCTATGGATCCATTAAATACAAAACTAACCATACTTTTTTTTATAGGAGTGGTCGATTTTTAATCCTTATGTATTATTCGAATCTTACTGGTTAAATTATTACATCATATGCATGTATATAAAAATTTGATCATATGCACGCCTTGTACAATTCTGTTGATTTTCATAATTAGGAAGGTCTGGTTACACAATGTCAATAGTGATTTATATATGTATGTATGTATGTTCTGTTTCAATTTTTTTTTAATCAATATACCGTATATGCTTCTCTCTCTCTCTTTTTTTTTTTAATGTTTTATTCCTCGGCGTTTCTAACAATCATACACGTGACTTATACTATCCATAAAATCATATAATTACTGCAATTGTCTGAAGAAATCCAAGACACGTGACTATATTATTGTTTCTGGAACAAATACATCTTCACATACCAGAACCAAAATCAACTATATTTCGATCGTATTCACTACATCATCCATCATATATCAAATCCCATCCATTAAAAAAAAAGAGAGAGAGAGAAAATTTAACAAATAACGCAAGAATTAGGGTCTTCGTTCTCCACGAATTTGGTAGGGTAAACGGGATAGTGAGAGATATCATAATTGGGATGGTAAGTCATAGGCATGACCGGATGGTGAAACACTACTGGTTTAGGAGGCTCCGGTTTAGGAGGTTCCGGTTTCTTAGGTTCCGGTTTCTTAACCGGTTCGACAGTATCGATCTTGGCATCACATATCTTCCTCAATTTCATCACAATCGTCGGTACATCCATATCCATGCTCCCGATCACCGTCATCTTCTCGTTCTTCTCATCGATCCCGACGGAACTGACCCCTATAAAAAAAAACATTTTTTTTAGCAATTCATAACATCACATACCAAAAAACCAAAATCGAAACACCAAAATATATATATAATATATGTCTCTATATATGTACCTGGAAAGGCAGAGACGGTCACGAAGGCTTTCTTTCTGATCTTGATGTCATGAATACTCAATAGAAATACAGCTTTCTGTAAATTAAATAAAATCATAATCAATATCAACTTTAATATTTTCATAAACATAGTTAGAAAATAAAAATTAAAGAAAAAACAAGAGCTTGAAATATATATATAGATAAAGGACAAACCTGCATCGTAGACTAAGAGGGAGAGAGGAGTAGAGACTGTGACTGAATCTTCGAAGCTGGTTTTTTTTTCTTGCGTATGTAATAATCCTCGAAGCTTGTTGATGACACATTGTAAACTTCCTCGATATATATATATATATATACACACACAGGAGTTGCAAGTGTGGGACCATACATATAAACAAAAGAAAGATCAACACGACATTCTGCGAGACTTTCTAGTATCACAAATTTGACCAAATCCACTTTTATATGATGCGATCCATTTTTTTTTTCATCCGTAGCTTCATTAGATAATAAAAACAACAAGTTGGTCCGATTTTTTTTAATATTTCTGATGATGATGATTTTAATCCTTTTTAGGCCAAAGTGCCGTTTTGTATATGTCTCCTTTTAGTTTTGTTATTACACGTATATTAAATTCACCTTTTACCAAAAAAAATGATGATGAAATTGGACCAAATCCACTTTTATGATGTGATCCATTATAAACACAACAAGGTTGGTCCGATTTATTTTATTATTTCTGATGATGATGATGATGATGATAAAACTATTGGAAAATGAGACAAAACAAGGATGAAAACCATGGAAGTGTCAAATATCACGTGTGGGACCCAAGACGACGAGGAGACTTTGCGAGTCTTTTAGGAAATTGATAATCGAGAGCACGGAAATTGTCCACGAAGCTCATCTGACACCATGCATGACACACGTCTTCTTCACTCTGATATCGTATGGACTTTCCAAGAAGGGTCGTGACCGGGTCGGGTCGGGTCGAACCCCGTTGCATGACCCACGAACCCATATCTCGGCCATCGGTCGTCCTCTACAAACCCTAAATCAAATAATCATCTCAAACCTAAATGTATTGTTACAAAAACGTGCTGTTACATACGTATGCAGTGGGCTTTTAACAGAGTATATGGATATTTATGTAAAATTGAATATTATTATATACTATTTTTCAATCATTTTTAAATGGTACGAAAAAAAATTGCATGGGGGGGCAAAATGAAATCACGTAAATCCCGACAAAGTGAATTGACTTTTACCTGGTCGTTGAGAGAATTGGGGGCCCCACTTATGAATTGTGTCCACCTATTGGTCCGGGGGTTGTTAATCCTCTTCCCTTTTGGAACTTGCCTTATAACTTCCCTTTTTGTTTTTTTCCCCTCAATTTCTTACTTTTTGGAATTTACTTAATTTCTGCAATGCCCTTAATTTCATAATTTTGATTGTCGATAATTTCTTTAATTATTTTATAATATAACCTAAACAGATAATCCTAATCATATTTCAAAAAGTCTTCCGTAATTTGATTTTTTTAAGTTTTGTATGCAATTTTTATCTAGTTTTGTGTTATGTATTTAAGATAATTACGTATTTTAAATTTTTTTAATTTATAAGAAAATAGGAAAAAAATTATATATACAATTATTTAAATATTTTGAAACTATCTTCTCATTACTATTCTATTGGAATGAGGTATTTTTCGTCAAGGACAAAATTGAGTTTTTTTAATTAAAATATCATATAAAAAATTTAGATTAAATTAATAACAAAAAATATTTTTAAAACGACATGTGTTTAGAAAAGGAATTATGCTATAATCTTAGTTATCTGTTTCGGTGGAACATTATCTCATATATTATTAACTACCCAAATTAAAGGAAATTGAAATCATATATTATCGTTATGAATTCAATACGAATTAACAATTTAAATAGAGTATTTTGGACCAAAGTCCAAACTAATCCTAGGACCAAGAACTAGTATCATTTCGACTATACATTTTCTTTCCAAATTTAAAATCCGAACTCAAAGTGGAACAAATGTTTTACGTTTTCATTTCACCGGTTGAACTATTCAAATTTAGGTTTCAAAATTCTATAACCAACTCCATTTATATCCACATATAAAAATAGTTATAGTCGTTAAATTCAAGTAATGAATTCGACTTAGGTTTATTTCCTCCAATTAAAAAAGAGAGCATATATATTCACTGAGGTAGAACGGCAGAAAATTAATTTCATCTTTATATTATAAAAATCTTCATCTAGTAATTAAAATGAGGACACATGCACCAAGGTCTTCCGCAAAACACGTGGCAGTACCAACAATAGTAATTTGGATTTGGAGGACCAGCAGGAACATAAACCACATCCGGTTCGGTCGTTCCTTCCGGTGCGGGATTTTTATCCGGTTTTTTCTCCGGTTCTTTGGCCGGTCCGACCGTCAAAATTGTAGCATGACATATCTTCCTTAGTTTCTTCACAATAATCACCGAATCAATGTCCCCGACCACTGTTAATTTCTTGTCCTTCATGTCCACTGAGATCGACTCAACTCCTGCAAAAGTAAAACTTATAAATTATACATAATTTAGCCAAAAAAATTATACATAATTTATCTCTCTCTCTCTATATATATATATATATGCATATGTATTTGTGTGTTTACCATGGAAGCCACAGACAGTTAGAAGAGCTTTCTGCTTGATTTTCTCGTCATAAAGCTCCAAGCCCAACACAGCTTTCTGCATGGGAAGAAAGATTTTGATTAGTAATAAATTAGGATATTTGAATTTTCGTGAAACTATATTAAGGATCTTAATATAAAATAGAAACCAACCTGCATTTTTTGGTTACTGTAATGAAGGCAAATGCAGAGAGCAATTAATGGATGAGGGAAATCTGTGTATATTCAAGTCTCGTGTAAGGCCTTTTGCTTCGTTCGCACCCCTTTATATAAGCGGTCTCATGCGACAAAATATTAATCACCCAGTCAACCGAAAAAAAAAAGAATTAGATTTTTATATATATCGAATAACTTCTACCTCCCAAAATAAAATAAAAATTAAATTCACTATTTTTTATATCGAAGAGGAAATAATGAAAAAATAGGTAGTCACAAAAAATAAAATTGTTTTAGTAAGCGAACAATTAAAATATCATCATAAAAAATGATTTTTTTAATCAACAACGACAACTAGGCCTGAGCACAGGTCGAATACCCGAAAAATTCAGGGTATCCGGATTTGGATCCGAATCAATCGGATATTATATTTTAGAATTCGGATTTGGATTTGAAAGTCCCGGGAATCCGGATTACGAGTATCCGATTTGATATCCGGGTACTTGCGGATACCCGGATCCGAAATTATTTCTATAAAGAAAGATATATAGATATTAACTTTCATTTTAAACCAAATATAAAGGAATTGTTATAATCCTTGATTCCTTACAACATAATTCTTAAAACATATAAACAAACAATGACCAGAACTATATATTGTTGATCAATTCATCAGTTTCAACTCCACCACTTTCTAACGTCAGTCTACCTGATACATCTAAAATGAATCGAGTATCTGAAACCCTAAATTACTAACGTCAGTCCATTAATCAAGCCTAAACACAAAATATGGAAGTAATAAAAAATCTAAAATGAATCGAGCATCTGAAACCCTAAATTACTAACAACCCAAACCCTAACCACACAAATCTTAAATGAAATCTAAACCGAATATTTCAAACCTCAAAACCCAAAAAAAATAACTAAAAACAAAACTACAACCTCAAAAATCAAAACCAAATTAAAATCTAATATGAAAAATCAAAACTAAAAATCAAATAAAAAAACCCTAAATCACATTTATACCTGTGGTAAACTTGTCATACGACCAACCAAGAGAGAATGGTGAACGCTTGATGGTGGTGGGGAAGACGACGGTGATGGTATGCAATGGCGACAATCGATGGACAACAAGAATCACGGAAGACAAAAAAAAAATGGAGGAGAAAGGGAGGTTAAAGATGGAATCGTGAAAAGCTAGAGAGAAAAGGTAAAATTACTAATAGTACTAATAGTTTTTTTAAATAATAAAAAATAGATATATTATATATGTTATAAAAAAACATAATATATATAAAAATATAATAGTTTTACGGGTATCCGCGGGTATCCGTTGACGATATTTTTAATACCCGGATTTGGATTCGTCCCGCGGATATTTATAAATTAATATCCGACTCGGATCCGTTTATAGTCGGATACCCGATTTTCGAGTATCCGCGAGTCGGATACCTGCAGATACCCGAAAATCGGGTATTTTTGCCCAGCCCTAACGACAACAATATCGCCTTAATCTCAAACTTATTTTGGATCATTCGTATGAATTTTATTTTTCAACTCATTACGGTTTTACGAGAAAAAATAATTTTGTAATAAAGTGAAAAAAATAAAATTTCAGAAGAATTTCTTACACGCGTTCGAATGTGAGAACAAGTCACATAAACAGTAGTTTAGGGGCCGCAAAGCATATACAAGTGACAACAATAGATAAATTTATTATGTAAAATATTGATTTATTTTTTTAAGAAGTCGTAATTTCTGAATGTTCAGTACGGCTTTTGTAGTGCATATCTACAGTGCTTGTATGAAATTAAATTAGACAACCATTATAGATTTCATGATGTCTTTTATCGAGGTTTTATTTGATACAGATAAAACTATAAAAAGATTATCACGGCGATTAAATTCAAGAATCTTTCGAGTCGAATTTGGGTGTTTCGTTACTTACCAAAACTGAATTAAAATGGGCCGATAGAGAATATTCCATACGACACAAATTAAAAAAATAGATGAATGAAGAAAATAATATATATATATATATATATATATATATATATATATATATAACTTTAAGGTTTGAAGACATTTGACATGTAGGCCTCGCAAGCAATTTGGATAGTGATTAGAGAACTTTCCAAGTAAAATAATATACATATACACGAATTGAAACAAAGAAAAATACAAATATATCCATTTTCTTATTATCATCTAATATCCATTATTATTTTTAATATATATATATATGTATAGTCTACGAGTAAATCCGAGAGATAGGTGCCGTGAGAGTCAAGTCATGTCGCAAATCGACAAACGCAGTCGCATTGGAGAATTCCAGAAGATGCGGACTCGGGAAGTTCCATGGCAAAGAACCCTAGGCCATGCTGTCTCCCGAGTCAACGTGTTTGTCTTCCTCTTAGTCCGAGCAAAGACCGGGTCAGATCCAGTTACGACCCAGAATACCCATGGAAAGGTGTACACTTGTATGTACGTATGCGTGTGTATATATAGTATATACATGTATATATCATCATGTCTTCTGTTTTTCGGGGTTACGTACGGATTGTGTCCAAGGGACTTAACTCGATTCACGAATCACGGGTTTTGACCAGAATCCTAACATTAGACTATGATTCCGAATGCCATTATACAACTGGATGATATACAAACAATATAAAACATGTTTGCAAAAACAATATAATCATACTATGTATTATCCGGATGATAATTAATGTCTCGGACGATGTATTTTTTCAGAAATATTTGTATACATCTCTAATATAAATTAATTTTATTTGTGGTGTACTAATGTAATCGACGCCTTCAAGAGTTGGGAGAACGGGTTTATTAGAGTATATATATATGCCACTGGTTTAGTTCGGTTTGATTTGATTTGTATTAGTAGAAAAATTTGTATGAACAAACAAACAAGAAAGATTTCCTCTTCTTTGTACAACTATTTTGACTAAACCAAATTAAACCAACCTAAACCGGTTGTATGATAGAAAGGACCGATTGATGAGGGTTTTCGTGGAGGAAGTTAATCTCAACCTTTCGTGGTTTCTGATGGGATAAAAACGCGCGTTAATTGATGATCTCTTCGGTTATTTGTGGAGCATTACATACGTTAAACCCTAGTTTAATCTTTAGATTATATATGATTTGGTGTTAATCATATGTGGTTAATTAGTTGTGCATACAAGGACATTCTGGGATTGGGTGGTGGACTTATCGTTGACTTTTTTTTATGGAGTATGTCTTGCTTAATCCAACCCGTTTGGGTATTCGTTTCGATTGGGTTTAACCCAATAACAATAGTTAAATGGGTTGGGTCAACCCATAAAACCTATAAAACCCATTTCACCCCATTTAATCATTTTAATATTCTAAATACTTTTTAAGAATAAAACAAAAATATTCAATTAGATTATCATTTTATTTTTTAGGATTTAAAAAGATTTTTTTTCTAATTTTTAAATACTAAAAAGATAGTTTTATATACGTAAATTGATTCGAATCAATTTGTTTGATCTGAATCGAATCGATCCATTTTTCGGATCAAATTGATCTTAAAATTCGATTTGTTTTGATCCGAATTCTATTTTTATTATAAAATTCTCATGTATAAGAAATATTCAAATTTTTATTATTTTTATATTTGATTTGACTTCGATTTTTTATTTTTAAAAAATTTTGTACATTCGATTTTATATCTAATTTGAACATATCTTATTTATTCGAATGAATTCAATTTTTATTTTGAAATATTTTGACTTTATTTATAAATATATTTTTAACATTTTATTTAATAAATACTAATATCAATAATGTAATGTTTAATGGGTTAATAAAAACAATTATAACCCAAAACAATAAACCAAATGTAATAATAATTGAGTTGGGTTGGGTTACCCATCTAACCCAACCCAATTTGACATCTGTAGATAGAATAAAAAATGTTACTGCAAAAAAAAAAAAAACATTGATGAGCAAACTATTCAAGGTGGTTAAAAAGAACTTGTCTATAAGAAATTAGTGTTATATATATATATATTAACCCTAAAATACTTCGAAAATAAAGGGATTTTGTCAAATGTTTGTTATCAATAATTTTTTTTTTATCGATACGTACTTAGCCTTAAAATAGAATAATTTGACAATATATGAAAGAACATGAGATATATAATTAGCCCGAGAGAGAACAGAAAGAAAGTATAGTGCATGTAACCTTTTTTTTAAACCTTCTTTTCTTAGCATTTTATTGTCTTAAATATAAAATCTAAATAAATTTAATAATATGTTTCTAATCTTTAACTTATTTGATTAACCCACAGTAAATCAAATAAATCGTTCTTTATATAATTTTTATTAGATGATTTTTAAAGTAATTTAATTATTTAATTGATATGGTTCTGATTCTCAAATTATTTTAGATTTTGACAGATTATAAATTTTGTGATGCCTTTGTAACATGGTAAGTCCACGGGCTAGGCAGCAAAATCGTTTTTAATTTACTTTAATTTATTCCCTAAAATATTTGAAAATACGTGTCACGTTACCATTAGCTGTCACCTAAGGCTCCGGCAAAGGCAGACACCTCAGCCTATATGACACGGATCCCGTCGACGCTCTCATTGCTTATATACACAACACATACATACATACATACATACATACATACATACCTGTATGTATAGATATATACATATATGTGCCCGAAGCCACGTTTCGAGTTCTTTGTTTGTCAGAGGCTGAAATTGAAAACAAATCGACCAAAACCCGAAGATCCTTTGATTCTTGTGGCGGAATTCATGGTTTCTCGAAATGCGAACCTTGGAGGCGGCTTCTACTTGGATCCCACCGGCATGACCTTGCCCGGCCTAGGCCCTTTCTCCGGCGCCGCCGCAACTACCACCTCCTCCGGTGTGGCCGCGGCGACTGCGATGGTTTCCTCCTCATCGGAGGAGGATCCAGGCAAGAAGGTCAGGAAGCCCTACACCATCACCAAGTCCCGAGAGAGCTGGACCGAGCCCGAGCACGACAAGTTTCTCGAAGCTCTTCAGTTGTGAGTCGAATTCGTTTCTTCCATTTTCTTTAATGTATGTATTTGTAGGGTTTGGTTGGTTTAGAGCTTCAATTTTGAGGAAGTTAGTCGCAATTCTACTGGATTAGGGTTTTTGGCTGAATGAGAACAATCCAGTAATTCAATGAGATTATGAGTCAGAGGGATTCGGTATCCTTGTGCGGAGGATGCGAAAATGGAATTTTGAATAAGCTCGACAGTGGATTTAGATTATCCATGGAGTAGGAATTGAAATTCGGTGGATGGGATTGAAGGTTCGATTAGGCGTGTGTTTTGCCCGTGATTAGAGTATCTTTCCGTTATCATTTCTGTTAAACTAGGTGTCTCACTCGCATGATGTTATGAGAAAGCTAGCTTTAATGGGGGGATTACTTTGGTTTCCAATATGTAGTCTAAGGAGGAACAATTTGTAGTAGCCATTATCATTGGATGATGAGCCAATATGATCGTTGATACCTAATCACGGAGAGGAAGCAAATGTACTGAGGAAGAATAGAGGAAATGTTATGTGGATGCCGTTAGTTTTTCGTTTTCAGAAAAGATTGGTGTTGTAATGTTGTTTCATCATGCTTAATGTTACGCTCACCCTTTTGAATTTGCTAAGATGCTGATTTTATGCATCTTATATCTATTTTTTTCGGCATTTTGATTGAGTGATAATGTTTGTACTTCACTACTTCTGTTCTATCCTTTTAGGTTTGACAGAGACTGGAAGAAGATTGAAGCTTTTATTGGGACAAAGACAGTGATACAGGTGCAGTAAAATGCAAACTATTTTTTGAATTGCTTCATGTTTTGTACATTTCGCCTTTGAGTTTTAAGGCCGCCTAGAAGGGTATACCTCTTTGTCTGTCGCAGTTGTTTGTTCGTTCTGTTCTCTTTCTTTTGGGCCCTCAATGTTGCTGTGGGTTGCGTCTGTCTCTTCTCATTTGATATATCTATGGATATTTCCATTTAAACTATTTACATAAACCGTTTTGATCTATTTAGGTGAGGCTCGCTCTTGTTTTCGGGACTGATTTACCCAAGAAACTAAATCACAACATAATCTTTGGTTCATCACATTAGAGGGTTGTCTTATTTTATGCTCGAGGAACAAAAGAACTTGTGGAACTCTATTGCAAAATTCAGTAAGAATTGCTGTTCCTTGCTTGATTTTTTTTTGTTTCGCAATTTTGCAGATAAGAAGTCATGCTCAGAAGTACTTTCTTAAGGCACAGAAGAGTGGAGGGGGTGAACATCTCCCTCCCCCTAGACCTAAGAGGAAAGCTGCTCATCCATACCCACAGAAGGCTCCCAAAAACGGTGTGGAACAAAACCTGCTAATCTTTTAAACATATGGCATTGCAGATGTTTTCGTGGAAACCATATCGATGGATTATTTGCATGTACAGCACAGCCTCAGGTTTTGGGGTCCTTCAAATCAAGTGAACCGGGACATTTGTTTAGGCCCGAGTCTTCTTCGATGCCGATGAATTCTGCAAATGCTGCCGGTGTACCTGTGTGGACTAATACTGTGCAAACGATTAGCTTTTCACCTATCCCAAAAGGTGCTCTTCTCCTTGATAATGCATATGGCCCTTGCTGCGTAAATCGCTTAACAGAAATCAAATCATTCCTCTGAATCTTACTAGATATCTGAATTGCATTTTTCTTTTGTGTGTTTTGGTGGTTAAAGCAGGACCAGGAGCAACTAACAACTGTTCTAGCAGCTCTGAAAATGCTCCAAGGACGCGACCCAGAGGAGACACTAGTGAACAAGGCAGCCATGGCCATTCATTAAGAGGTGGACATTGTTGATCTTCTCATTTTTCATCTTATTTATACTATTTTTCGCCATTCTTGACCTGACAGTGTCCTTGTTTTTAATTTATTTATCAGTTTTACCAGACTTTGCCCAAGTATACAACTTCATTGGCAGTGTTTTCGACCCATATGCTACTGATCACCGGCAGAAGCTGAAAAAGATGGACCCCATAGATGTGGAAACGGTAAGATATCCGTACGTGTCGATTCATTTTTACGATATTCATCAATCTCGCTGTACCAGGGTAATTTTATTTGTTTTTGCCTCGAAATGCAGGTGATGCTGCTAATGAGAAATCTAGCCATCAATCTCGCTAGCCCCGATTTTGAGGATCATGTGAGTAATTTATCTTCTTTCACAGCTAATCGTACTTGATTGATTCAAGTCGAAATATCGAAACTTAGCTACGATTCTTTTCTTTTCCTTATTTTTTTTTCTATTGCGATGGCAGAGACGGCTGCTTCCGTGCTACGATATTGGATCCGATACAACGGATCACGGGGGTGGAGCAAGTAAAACATTGAACAAAGAAAAACCCGAGATCTCAACTTAATTTTGCGAGAGAATGATCGATGATCCCTATCTCATTCATCGGCTTTTATCCTCTGTTGCGTCTCCTACTATGTCGTGTCGGAACTCGTGGGTAAGACATGGACGAACAGACACACCAGGTGGAAGGAAGGAAACATTAAGAGGGACAAGGTACGATATTTACATCTTCCAGTTGATGGAATGGCCATGAATGCTGTTTTATGCAGCACTTTGCGTGCTTTTTTGTTGTACATAGGAAAACAGTCTACAACTTGGGCGGTCGGGGGCTTCCTATATATATATCATATATTTTTGTATATGGATATAAGATATATGTACAGTGCGTTTCATATACCTCTGGCCCTGGGGATGGTTAATAATAGATTTCAAATCTATTTAATGTTCAATTTGAATAACTGACGATTCCTTTAGTAAATTGATTCCCTTATACATATAAACACACGCCCCTCTGGTGGCAATGACAAATAATTTTGTTAATCTAATTGATTCCAAGTGAATAACATATTATAATATTGGAATGGTTATAATTGTCAACCGAGTCCAACATAACATAACCAAAACCCAAATATATGTTGCTGAAAATGGGCTTATTTTGTCAGAGTCCACTGAGATTACGGGAAGGCCCATTAAGGCCCAACAAGTTATTACACCATCGCTTGTTTTATTTCTTCGAAAACCCTAATTTGGCTCCTCACTGTGTAAACTGCGGCTTCGCATTGAGGAAAACCTTCATCGCCGGCAAGATGGTACTTCTCTTTTATACTTTGCCTTGTTTTCTATGACATATTTTTTCTTGGTTTGAGATCTTTTTTGGAGGTTTAACGATGTTTTTTCTTCGTTGTTTGGTCAGATTATCCCCGAGAACAACCGCAAAGAGATCTGCAAATACCTTTTCAAAGGTTCGTGCTTTCTCGTATTTTGTATTCGTTTCGGTATTTAGATTTTGCTTCGTTTCGGCTACATAAATGTTGGAGGAAAATAAGCTGGCACTAGGGTTTGGCTTGAATGGTCCGAAAAATTAGGATGATGAGAGAATAAGAACTGCGGATTTTGGCTTGAGAGATATTCTGGTGTAGGACTGAAACCTTTTGAGTCTGTCGAGTTGAAAGTACGAGGATCATGTAGTCTGTTACCGAGATTGGTAACACGGGTTACTACTTTTTTTAGACAACTATTGCGATTTTCGGTATTGTATTCTGGACTCAAATGGAAAATGGGCTTAATGTTGACGAATGGAATATGTCTGAACACGATTTTGCAGAAGGAGTTTGCTATGCGAAGAAGGATTTCAACCTCGAGAAGCATCCGTTGATAGATGTGCCCAATCTGCAGGTGATCAAGCTGATGCAGAGCTTCAAATCTAAGGAGTACGTCCGGGAGACGTTTGCGTGGATGCATTATTACTGGTACTTGACTAACGAAGGGATCGAGTTCTTGAGAACTTATCTTAATCTCCCATCGGATGTTGTTCCTGCCACATTGAAGAAGTCTGCTAAGCCTGCTGGCCGCCCCTTTGGTGGCCCTCCTGGTGATCGCCCGAGGTAAGTTTGTTTACACCTCATTTTTTCGCCGTCATCGGCTTGTTAATTCTGCTTCAGTAACATTTAAACATATTCGGGCTGTATTGGTTTATAGGGGTCCGCCCCGCTTTGAAGGAGACAGGCCAAGATTTGGTGATCGTGAAGGATACCGAGGAGGTTCTCGTGGTGGTGATTTTGGAGGCGAGAAGGGAGGCGCCCCGGCAAACTTCCAGCCATCTTTCCGGGTAATCTCTATTTCAAAAGTCCTTTTTTTTAATTGTTCATGCGCTTATTGTTAGATTGTGGTTTATTTTCTTCCGAAGCCGCATTTTTTGGTATCGTGATAAACATCTTTCTTTGTTTACCTATAAGCTGTGAAGTGATTCAAACATTTAGTAAAATGGGTTGGAACTTGGAATGATTTTTTTTTTTTGCGTTAATTCTTCAATGAGCTTAAAGATAGATATAATCGGATGGCTTTGTCACTGCAGGAGTCGGGTGGAAGGCCTGGCTTTGGCCGCGGTGCGGGTGGTTACAGTGCCGCCACACCGTCTGGTTCGGGTTTCCCTTGAAGAAGAAGAGGGCATTTTGGTTTGTAGGAGCAAGGAGTTGTGTGGTAATGGTCTAAAGTTTTTGTTTTCTGTAACGCCATTAACACCCTTTAGAATCCTCAAATATACATTGAAAACAAGACGTGTATGTGTGTGTCGTGGCCTAGTTTGGTGTTTGGTTATAGTGGCGTTTTGGGTCTTCAGTTCATCCGAAAACAGTGGGTCGTGTGTTTTCTTGAAAATGGATTTGAGTTGGTGGTGGCATTGACGATATATAACTTCAGTTTTTCGTTGATTGGTCAACACTCCATCAGTACATCCGAATAGTCCCTAAAATTTTCGATGTGGGATGGAGAGTTTATATATACTAATATATGTCTCGACACTGAGATAGATGTGTACATAGACGGTTGGACCTAGTGAATTTTTCTGCTCCGTTTTAATAATGTTTTATTATCTTGTTATTGTTTTTATTTTTTATTGGGAAAATGACATTTTCCTACACGAATTTATCAAAATGTGATATTTTCCTACACGAATTTTTAATTTGACAAATGTCTACACCCAATTAACAAATTTCCCAAATACCTACACGAATTATCCAATTTTAGTGCAATTAACTACACAATCCGAAATTATCAATTAATTGCTGACGTGGCATGCCATGTGGCGGCTCACGTGGCATGCCACGTGAGATTTTTTTGCCATGTCAGCGTGAATTAAAAAATAAAAATAAAAAATAAAAATATATTTGTATATGGCATGCCACATGGGATTTTTGCCATGTCAGCGCGAATTAAAAAAAATAAAAATAAAAAATATAAATATATTTGTATGTATGCATATATATATATATTTTTAAATTTTATAAAAAAATTAAATTTATATACATACAAATATATAAATATATATGTGTATATTCATATATATATACAAATACAAATATAAACATATATATATATATACATATACATATATATACATACAAATATATTTACATATGTGTATGTGTGTATATATAAATATATTTGTATATATATATATTTGTATAAAATTCCAATTTATACAATATATACTTTTTAAAATCTATACGAAATTTAAATTTATATACATACAAATATATAAATACATATATATGTTTATATATGTATTTTTTATTTTTTATTTTTAGGAATTTTTTTATTTTTTTTAATTCGCGTTGACATGGCAAAAAAATCCCACGTGGCATGCTACGTGAGCCGCCACGCGGCCTTCCACGTCAGCAATTAATTGATAATTTCGGATTGTGTAGTTAATTTAGGGGTGTCAAAACAACCCGAAGCCCGAAGCCCGGCCCGAAACCCGCCCGAAAAATTAAGGGCTTGGGCCTAATAATATAAGCCCGATAAATAAATGGGCGGGCCGGCCCGGCCCGAAAAAAGTCAGGGCCAAATCGAGTCCGGCCCGAAACCCGCCCGTCCCGCCCATTTAGCCCGAAAAAATACTATATTATTAGATTTTTACTTTCATTTGATATTTAATACCACATAACATTATATAAAAACTTTTATTTGTTTGTTTTATATATAGATATATATTTATATTTCAAAGCAATTTAATTAATATATATTAAACTTATATTATATATATATATTATTAAACAATTTAATTAGATTTTGGTTTAATTTATATATATACATATATACATATATATGTATATTTATTTTATAAGTTTAATTTTGATTTTTAAATTCTATCTCAATGTTTTTCTATACTTTTTATTGTACCGAATATATTTTTCGTATATTACATATATTAAAAATATCATATAATTTATATAATTTAAATTTTACATGATTATTTTTTATTTTTTAATTTTTTAATTGTAATTGATATGGACCAAAATTTGATATTGTTTTTATAAAAAATTGTTAAATAATAATAATTATTTATTATTATTTATTAAATAGAAAAAACCCGAAACCCGGCCCGAACCCGCCCGAAGCCCTTTAGGGCCGGATTCCGGACCACAGATCATAGGCCCGAAAAATAAATGGGCGGGCCGGCCCGGCCCGAAAAATTCGAAGCCCGAACTAAGCCCGGCCCGAACCCGGCCCGACCCGCCCATTTTACACCCCTAAGTTAATTGCACTAAAATTGGATAATTCGTGTAGGTATTTGGGAAATTTGTTAATTGAGTGTAGACATTTGTCAAATTAAAAATTCGTGTAGGAAAATGTCACATTTTGATAAATTCGTGTAGGAAAATGTCATTTTCTCTTTTTTATTTGACACGTTAATTGGCGAACCGGACCAGGTTCGCAGCAACGGACCGGACTCAAAAATGAACTGGATCGGACCGGATCGTTCTACATCGTTAACAAAAGAGCTCGACGGAATCCTAATAGGGGGATCGTAATTTTGTACAAACATTCCAAATTTCATTCAATTTTCTTCCGATGTAGGTTTTTTAACCATTCGAGAACAGATATGGGACACCACCTCACACACAAAAAAAAAAAAAACAAAGACTCAGATACACAGACACTCCGACACTAACACAGAACAGAAACACGGACAGAAAGAAGACGCACAACTTCAGAACAAAACATCTTTGACTTGCCAAAAGAGACACTGACCCATCCCATCCATATGTCCATTAGTCGACTTCCTCCATCTTGCTCTCCTCGCCACCATCTTCCTCCAACGCCGGCATATCCTCCTCCCCGACATTCTCGTCCTCCTCCTCGATGCTCAGTCCCAGTTTCAACATCCTATGTATCCTACCCGCGAACATGTTCGGATCCTCCAGACTGAACCCTGACGTCAACAGCGCTGTCTCGAACAGCAACATCACCAGATCCTTCACCGACTTATCGTTCTTGTCCGCCTCCGCCCTCTTCCTCAGCTCTTCCATTATCCCGTTGTCCGGGTTTATCTCCATCGTCTTCTTGCTCGACATGTACGAGCTCATGCTGCTGTCTCTCAGCGCCTGAGCCTTCATTATCCTCTCCATGTTCGCCGTCCATCCGTATTCTCCCGTCACCAGACAGCACGGCGAGTCCACTATCCTGTCCGAGACGACCACCTTTTCCACCTTGTCCCCGAGAATGTCCTTCATCGTCTTGCAGAGATTCTCGAATGACTTCTTCTTCTCTTCCTTCTTCTTCTTCTCTTCCTCGCTCTCATCTTCCAACTTCAGCCCTTCTTTCGTGGCGGATACGAGTTTCTTCCCATCGTACTCCTTCAGCTGTCCCACGGCGTATTCGTCGATGGCGTCCACCATGAACAGGACTTCGTATCCTTTCTTCTTCAGTCTCTCCAAGAATGGGGAATTCTCTACCGCTTTCTTGCTCTCGCCGGTTATGTAGTAGATGTCCTTTTGTCCTTCCTTCATCCTTGTGACGTAGTCTTTAAGGCTCGTCATTTCATCACCGCTCTTTGTGGAGTGGTACCGGAGAAGTTCGGCTATCTTGGCTCGGTTCTGGCTGTCTTCATGAATACCCAGTTTCAGGTTCTTGGAGAAGGCCTCGTAGAATTTGTTGTAGTCCTCTTTGTTTTCGGCTATCTCATTGAACATCTCTATGCATTTCTTCACGAGGTTCTTCCTGATCACCTTGAGAATCTTGTTCTGCTGCAGCATTTCACGAGAGATGTTGAGCGGCAAGTCGTCCGAGTCGACGACTCCCTTCACGAAGCTGAGATACTCCGGGATTAGCTCCTCGCAGTTGTCCATTATGAACACCCTCCTCACGTATAGTTTGATGTTGTTCAGCTTCTTCCTCGTGTCGAAAAGATCGAACGGTGCCCGCTTAGGGACGAACAGAATGGCCTTGAATTCGAGCTGACCCTCCACGGAGAAATGCTTGACAGCGAGGTGATCTTCCCAGTCATTGGTCAAGCTCTTGTAGAAGGAAGCGTATTCCTCCTTGGTGATCTCTTCTGGCTTCCTCAACCAGATGGGTTTCTGCTTGTTGATGAGTTGCCACTCGTGAGAGACTTCCTTGATCTTCTTCTTCTTCTTGGTCTCTTTCTCCTCATCAACCTCCTCGACATCCCCTTCTTTCTCCTTCTTCGGTTCATCGTCCTCATCATCGCTGATCTCCTTCTCGGTTGTCTTCTCAGTCCACAAGTATATCGGGTAGCTGATGAACTCAGAGTGCTTCTTGACCAAGTCCTTGATCCTCCTCTCCTCCAAGTACTCGAGCTGTAAAAAACCGAACAATTATAAGCATATCTATCAGTCCACACCAAATCATATACAAATTGCTTATTTCAGTGCCACATCCGAACATGTTTATGAATTCTACCTGATCCTCCTTGAGGAAGAGGGTGATCTTAGTTCCTCTACCAAGCGGTTCACCGCTAACATCCCTTGTGACAGTGAAGGAACCACCAGCCTGAGATTCCCAGACGTACTGCTCGTCATCGTTGTGCTTTGTGGTCACGACGACCTTCTCCGCGACAAGGTACGCAGAGTAGAAACCAACACCGAATTGACCAATCATGCTGACATCGGCCCCAGCCTGGAGTGCCTCCATGAACTCCTTGGTTCCAGACCTCGCAATTGTTCCCAAGTTGTTCACCAAATCTGAAATCGTACGAAACAGAACATTTCAAGGCAACTGCAAGCGTCAACGATAGATTCGACAGGAAGGAAAGGAATGAATCAATCAAGACTAAAATCGTGCGAACAGCATTACCAGCTTTGGTCATCCCAATGCCACTGTCGATAATGGACAGGGTCTTGTTCACCTTATCCGGCACAAGCCTGATGAAAAGCTCCGGCTGAGCATCGAGCTTGCTCTTGTCAGTCAAACTTTCGAATCTGATCTTGTCAAGTGCCTACAGAATACAGAATCCACGCTTATCACGATCAGAAAACTGCTTCGCAATGCCACAGACACCGATAACAGAAGCACACCCAGAAAAGCAATTTGCTCCTAGTCTCCTTTCGCATCACACAACATGAACGAAAAATATTCACAGGAAGCAGGGGATAACCAGGCACTCTCTCCATCCACAAATTTCAAATGCTGCTCCCAGGATAACCCGAATCTAACCAAATTGTGATGATCTAGTCCAATCCTAATATTCAATCGGGCTAACGAAGAGGTTAACCAGAACTTGCTCTATCCACAAATTTAAAATGCCGCACCCAAGAACACACGAATCTAACCAAATTATGATGAACCAGTCCAATCTAAAACACTCAATTAGGCTAACACATACATGACATCTACATTCACTTGAGCCACAAGTTATACACACACCGACGTAGAGACACATCCAAATGCTAAACATGAATCATCGGATCGAAGGATCCAAATCTCCAAACCGAACCACATCCGATGCATAGGAAACTGAACAAAGAGCATAGGACTGGAAAACAGAGGAATCAAGGAACATTGAGGATCAGAGGAACATACATCGGAGGAGTTGCTAATGAGCTCACGGAGGAAGATCTCTTTGTTGCTGTAGAAAGTGTTGATGATCAAGCTGAGAAGCTGGTTAATCTCCGCCTGGAACGCGAACGTCTCCGCATCAGCCATCTGAACTTCCGCCATCGACAATCCTTCTAGGACGAGCGAGAATCAACGAGAAAACGAGAGAAACTTTTAGAGAGAATTTTCGGAGAGCTCAACGATATTCACAACAATTCTTTGAATAGAGAAGAGGAGAAATGGAAGTATTTATACAGAGGAAGAAATTCTAGTCCCTTCCTTTGAAATGCGAGGGAGAAGGCGATTCTGGATTATTCTATGAAACGTCGCCGTTTTCAGATACAACCAAACGTTTTCATAATCTGGAATCTGGATTATTCTGCGCAGTTTTTTTATATCAATGGCCGAGTATCTGGAAAGTTCCCTGAACTGAATTTATTATTTATGATATTAAAATTAAAATCATTACTTATATGATAACAACAGCAGAATAAATATAGAAATTAATGAATACAAGATGAACAAAAAAAAGGCAGATAATAAAATTAAATGTCTTTTGTCACCAGTAGTCGTTGCAGGAGCATTTCCCATCTTCAAACCGATGAAACCGATTGTTGTCTCTCACGATGATAACTCTTCCCGTACACTTGGACATGAACTTAATCGCGTTATGGCAATCACCGCAAACGCGGAGATTCTTCATCACCCTGATCGGCCTATCTTTCGGAAACGCGATTATCCCAAACGCAATCGCTAACCTCTCGCTGTGGTACCTAATCGTCTGCTTCTTCTCTTCCCCATCCACTTCCTTCAGCACGAAACTCGTGTCTGCAACATAACCTGCTTCCTCCATTTCTTGCCCTAATTCCGCCAACTTCTCGTAGATTTCTCTGCTTCTGGCATGGCGTCGATCTCCGGCTGCAAATGTATGAACCATGTTCCCTTCTTCCACCCAGCTTAGCCCTGTCTCCTTCTTCACCCCATTGTCTCGAAGCATTTTCCTTACTCTGGCCGCATCCTCGTATCTGTCTGCTGCCGCGTATGCGTTGGATAACAGAACATACATTCCCGAGCTGACCGGTCCTAACCCGAAAATCTTGTCGGCTGCAAAAGCTGCAAGCTTTGTGTTCTTGTGGATTCTACAACCCGTCAAGAACGCTCCCCAGATCGATTCTGTGGGCTCAATCGGCATTTTGTTGATAATGTCCAGCGCTTCTTCTAGCTTACCAGCTCGACCCAGCAAATCCACCAGCGAAGCGTAATGCTGAGCAAGCGGCTCGATTCCATGGATTTTCATCAGATCGAAGTAGTATCTTCCTTCTTCCACAAGCCCAGCATGGCTACAAGCGTAGAGCACGCATAGAAACGTGATGAAATTGGGCTTCATTCCCGCAAGTTCCATCCGTTTGAACAATCCGATCGCATTTCGGGTATGCGTGTGTTGGGCACAAGCGATCAGCATTGCGTTCCATATCCCGAGATTTTTCGTGGGCGTCTCGTCAAAAGCTCGATAAGCTCCTTCGACAATGCCGCATTTGGAATACAGAGAAACCAATGCACTGCCGACAAAACTAGACGAGTCATAACTGGTCTTAACGCACAGTCCGTGGATCTGCCTCCCTAACTCGAGCAGAGTTGAGTTGCCGCAAACACGGATGACACTCGAAAACGTGAAATCATTGACATCTAAATCCTCGTACAGTGCTTGTTTGAACAACTTCAGAGCTTCCTCGTCTTCATTGATTTGAGCATACCCACATATCATCCCGCTCCAAGACACCACATTTTTCTCAGGCATTTCGTCGAACACTTTCCTTGCATCGGAAATCCCCCCGCACTTTGCGTACATATCCACCACCGAACTTCCGACAAACACATCGCTATCATATCCTGTCTTCAGCGCCAGACAATGAATCGATCGACCGATATCACATCGGCTCAGAATCCCACACGACTTCGTCGCCGAAGGGAAAATATGATCATCCGGGCGAACATTTCCCATCAACATTGTCCTGAAGAACTCGAGGGCAAGACATGGAAGCTCGTTCTGGGCAAAACAAGAGATGATGGAGCTCCAAGTCGTCGAGCTCTTGACCGGACTTTCGTCGAAAACCCGGCGAGCATCGAGCGGGAGCTGTGATTTAGAGTAGAAATTGATGAGATTGTGAGCGACGAGAGGGAAGAAAGAGAGGCTAGACTTGACGACATGGGCGTGAAGCTGAAGACCTTTACGTACGGATCTGGACCGAGTCGCGGACAGAAGAAGATCGGAGATTTGCTTGTAGTCGTTGCATGGAGACAACAGAGCTCGATTGCCGAGGTTTTGACTACATCTCAAAACCGTCCAAGCATCATCCCTTTCAACGAGTTGATGGAGCATCGGACCCGCTCGACTCGACGACGAGCTAACATATTAGTAGAGATGTATGCACTCTCTTATATCTGTCAAGATTAAATAGGCCCAAAATGTGTTCAATAGGCCCAATATAGGCCCATTGAGCCATCGTTTGGGAGTTTACACATGTACCCTTCGGAATCTTATTTAATTACAATGGGTGCCACTGAGAAACGAGGGAGGATTGATCTTGGCCAATGGGAGTGCGACACGTGGGAGATAGCGTCTCACGGTCATATAGAGGACCACGTGGCGTGTTATGAGAGCCACAACGGGAGGGGAAAGTGGTGTGTGAAAATCCTAGAAAGAGCCACCTCTCACCCTCGTGGTTATGGGTATATGCCCTTTTCCTTGTCCTCGCACCACCACCACCAAGGCAGAAACCGACCACTTGGCTTTTGATTTTTCCCCTTTTGCCATCTCTCTCCACGTTATTTACATCTATGCCATTGGTCTGCTGCTATGAGGATTCAACCACTACCACCAACAATTAATTATTTTGATGAAAGTGAAGTCGTTATTTTATTCAAAAGTAACCGTAAATTTTTTGTTTTAATTTTGGCATTGAATGGAATAGATTTTTGGGGTTTTTAAATTTTAAAAACTAAAAATATTTAATCAAGTTGTTATAAAATTAGTTTTTTAAATAAAGAAATTTGGAAAATAATTTGATTAAAAAATCAAATAAAAACTAAAAAACTCTATTTTTGTAGATTTATAAAAATCAAAAACCACAATCCCAAAAAAAAACATAAAGCTAAAAACTCAAAATAAAACTACTACTTATTAATTTTTGGATTTCATACTATTTATAAATCCAAATTGATTTTTTCACTAGATTAGTTTTTCAAATATTTAAAAATATATTAAAAAAATATTAATTATCAATTTTTTATTTTAAAATTTTAAATACTCCAAAAACTTCATCCGTTCAATTTCATAATTTGTATATACCAAATATAAAATTACGACATCATATCAAAGAATAAAAAACACATAATTTCAATACAATTTTGTGCATAAAAAATATAATTTATTGTATTTCATACATGTTGCATATGTTTGTTTGTATTCTTTGTTCATCGGTAATCCTTAGCCTTGTATATTATATTATAACTAGGACAAGAGGAAAACAACTCCGAGTGAGTGAGTGGCATGACTTGCAAATTCGATAAACGTAAGGGCTATTTTGTCAGAGTAAAATTGTGCGTCGTCTCTGTATATAAATGCATGTGTACGTATGTATATGTGTTCCAACGCTTTTCAACCAGTATTCCAAAAGGGTTTTATTTTAATAAATCGCAGAAGAAAACAAAATAATTTTTTCCCGAAAATAATTGAGAATTTTAAAAAAAGCGAAAGGGCACGACAGAAATTGTGGTCTTGGTGCATTTAACTCTGCTAATTTCCCGGTTCACGCCGGCCCCCCCCTCTCTCTCTCTCTCTCTCTCTCTCTGGTGTCTTAGTCGCATAAACCTCGACGAACCAGAGCTCGCCGAGGTTCTTCCATGGCAGCTGGTCTCTCCACCTCCGTAACACTCAAACCACTCATTCGCTCCTTCTCCGCCTCCTGTCGCCGCCGTCTCGACCATTACCCGAAATCCGCCGCCGTATTCGCACCGCTTCCCCGGCTCCGTGCCTCCTTCCCGCGGCGGAGAAGCTTCACCGTCTGTTTCGTCCTGGAGGAGCAGAGACAGAGCGCTCAGATCGAGAACCCGCTCGATGAGAGCTCGAGCTCCGTCGACGCCGAGATCCTGGCGTCGCGATTGGCAGAGAAATTGGAGAGGAAGAAATCGGAGAGGTTCACGTATCTCGTTGCGGCGGTGATGTCGAGCTTCGGAATCACTTCCATGGCGGTTATGGCTGTTTACTACAGATTCTCCTGGCAAATGGAGGTATTGAGACTTCTGTTCGAATTTCGGTTTCCTGCGCTTTGTTTTTCGGATTTTGAAATTCAAATTCGTTGGTTTCTCGTAGGGAGGTGAGGTGCCAATATCTGAGATGTTCGGTACATTTGCTCTCTCCGTTGGTGCTGCTGTAAGTTCCAATTTCATATATGTTTTTTCCTCCAATGTCCAATCTATTTCGAAATTCGTAAATCTGCTTGTTCTTACTAAATGTTCTCACGAATTTTGATGTTCAATCAGGTGGGCATGGAATTTTGGGCAAGATGGGCTCACAGAGCTCTCTGGCATGCTTCCTTGTGGCACATGCACGAGGTACTTATTTTCCTCGTTCTCTGTTTGGTTGCCTAGAAAGTGTGGGAAAAATGACGGAAACCAGCCGTCAAGCAAAGTTTCCACAACCTTTTGTTTGAAATCCTCTGCTCCGCTAGTTCATACCCCGCATCAAGTCTCCCAGTTGTCATATAAACTCGAGCAAAATCGTGTACATGTGTTTGGCTTCTGAGAAAATTTCCATCCGACTTTTTCTCTTTTGGATGAATTGAAATTCTGCAGTCTCACCACAAACCCAGAGAAGGGCCGTTCGAGCTAAACGATGTGTTCGCCATAATCAACGCCGTTCCTGCGATAGGGCTCCTCTCCTATGGATTCTTCAACAAAGGCCTCGTCCCTGGTCTCTGTTTCGGCGCTGTAAGTACAAAATTTATACCAAATCAGCTCGCTTTACATCACTTTCTTCTCACATATTCACGACCAATAAGAACCTGAAAAACTCGTAAAAAAGAGCAGCGATTTCTTTCTTTGTAAGGGTTTTGGGGTGATGCCAGGATTCATTTATTATGATCAGCGAGATTAAGACTGAAGATCCTGAAAATGGTCGGAAAAAAACAGAGAATATCTTCAATTGTGATTTCTTGTTGCCTGATTGGTTGACCAAGATCTTCCCGTTGTTGCCGTAAATCTCATCCGCAATATAAAATACGAATATCCTTTTAACGTAACTCTAGTGATTCAGAAGTTCTATCACATGCACGTATCATCGCCCGTATATTCCCCACTTTAAATAAACAAGTATCCATCCTTGTCCATGTGGATTGTGGTGGCCAATTGTTTAAATATTCTAGTTGGACCATGCACACACATAGATATTGGTTGACGGAGAAAAACGGCGTTTATCGACGTTTGCGTTTACAGGGTCTTGGAATTACGGTGTTTGGGATGGCCTACATGTTCGTCCACGACGGTTTGGTTCACAAGAGATTCCCCGTTGGCCCAATTGCCAACGTGCCTTACTTCCGAAGAGTTGCCGCAGCTCACCAGGTAAGAACTCCACAGTCAAAACCCTAGAAATTACACAATACCACAGTAAAATTCAGTCAAAAAAAAAAAAACTATTTGATCTTTGACTCAGTTGTGTGAACTGGATCAGGAAAAAGGTGACAACTTTATTCGGATGATACATTTTCTTGGTCATTTATCTACCTCTATGGAAAAAATATTAAATAATTTACGCCCAAGATTCTTTCTTTTTAATTATTATTGGTTTTGAAATAGTGTTACCGGAGAAAAAACATAACCCACCCGGTTACTTTCTAGCTCATTGTTTTTGTCTGGTTTGTTTAGGATTCTGTTGATTACATGAGATCTTATAATACTGTCCTTTTTGTCATTTCAGCTACACCACACAGACAAATTCAAGGGCGTGCCATATGGGCTGTTTCTTGGACCAAAGGCAAGCTCTTTATTTGTTTAGATTCATATCTTAAAACACCTTCCCCTCTTTCATCTTATATTGATTGTGAACGTGTTGGAAATTTGGATTTGGAAGCAGGAGATTGAAGAAGTGGGAGGAAAGGAAGAGCTGGAGAAAGAGATAAGCAAGAGAATAAAACTGTACAAGAAGGGTACGGCTTGATTAGGAGGGACCCACTTACACTTGTTTTGGTTTTGGTTTGTGGAAGAAAATCTATGTTGTTTTAACCCCCAAAAAAATGTATACAAAGTAATTATATTATTATTGTATTTGTTATATGTTAATGGGAAGTCGATTAGCGTTTTAATGCTTTTTTTTAACTCAAAACTCAAAAACAAAATACAATCCCCCAATGTCCGCATGTGTATAATAGTCGCACCAATTTTTATTTTGTATACAACTAAAAGGAGGGACAAACATAGCTTTTTTTTGTCTTTATTTATAATCCTATCTAAAAATTAGATGAGTGTGAGATTGAATATTCGGGATTTTTAAAATAGTGGGATCTAAACCAAATTCTCGACGACTAATGTATATTAAAACCCGAATCCAAATTTGAATTTTTGGATATCCGAATTATATTATCTATTAAGATAACTTTCATATATCCGCGATATTCTAATCCCACAGATTTTAAACATATTTTGTTAAAAAAAATAAAAAAAATAAATAGATTATATACAAATAATTTCTAAATTATTAAAAATATTTATATCCAAAATAAATAGATCATATTATAATAGTTTTTCATCTAAACAAAGAAAAAAATAATAATTAGATATTGATAAATATCTTTGTAAATTTTTAATAACTAGAAAGTTATAATATTATTTTTTTACTATTTAGATACCATGGATAATTATATGGTATGAAAATACTAATCCAAATCCAAACCTAAATTTCGGGATTTATACATATTAAAACTCGATCTCTATATCTTTACAAGGCGAGTATCTGATTTTTATATATCCGATCCGAAAGTCTGGATGGATACTTGAAATTCGAGTAATTTTGTCCACCCCTAATAAGAATAAGCGTTTGTTTTCCCCCCGGATTTATAAATGTGCAATGATCAAACAATGCAATGTGCCATCTAAAATTTGGAAAAGAGAACAACAGACAAGTATTTGCCCCTAGAGTCATATATCATATCTTTTGTTGATAAATATTTATTTATTTTGTATCCAAAATTTAGAGTATTTTTATTCGTTTGAACCATGATTTTTCATGTATCCGCTGGTTTAGATAATTATCTTTCACCCTTAACTGTTTTAGGCCATAATAAAACACATAAACTAATGTGATCGTCGACCCAATTCAATCCTAAGTCCTTTTCATATTTAACTTTATATTTTTGGTAATGGCGGAGTTCCATAGGTTGTCTTTTTTTTCCCCTCTAATACATCTCCTTCGGAACACAGAACAGGCATGTTAATATTTCTTTTCCTTCTTTATAATTTTTATTGATATACAAAAGTGTGTATGTATATATAGAATTTTGTATTTTAATAATTATATGTATATATTTCGTATTTATAAGGTATGATGGGTTCTCCTCCGTCTCTCCATTCCCTTTCCAATAAAATATAATGATTATAAGATATGGTTTTCTCACACTGATTCATGAATCCATCGGTTCGCTTTACATTTTTCTTTTTTTTTTTTGATAAAGATTTGTATTGATGGATTGAAGGAGATACATAGTGATTGCTGTGATAGCAATATGATATACAAAAGGACCTGGACGTGGAATCTATATTCCTCCGAGCAGGATTACATTTGGGTTAACTAAACATAGAGAACCAATATTGAACACCTAATCCTGCGAGTTTAGGAGAAGTGGATCTTAGCGCAGCAACTCTTGTGCGGAAGATTTTGTCAGTTTCTCGGATCAAGTGATGGGTTCCCTGGAACATGTTCCGGTGAAGTCTCTGATTCCTTTCTTTCCACAAAAGATAGGTAGCGATCTGCCAAACCGATAAGACTGTCCAACGTTTGATCTTGCATTCATGACTTGAGAGAAGCCCCTGCAATATGTTTTGCCAAGAAGAGCGAGGGGAGAGGTGAATCAACTTCCCAACAGTTCCGGTCATGACTGCATTGGAGAATTCACATCCATAGAAAACATGGTCTCTTGTTTCCTCATGATTCTGGCAGAAGAGACATGAGGGGTCCACTTGTAATCCCCAAGAGATCATTCTGGACCTAGTCGGACAACGATCTAAATGAATCAGCCAACAAGTAAAAGCATGTTTGGGGATATGTAGTTTATGCCAAACCAGTTTAGCCCAGTAAACAGGCTGAAGATTCCTGTTAACAGATTTCCAAACTGACTTAGTCGAAAAATCTGATGATACCTGGCCTTCGACTTGCCAGGAGACCTCATCTGAGTTGTTGTTAAGGCGAATAGGAGCCAGGTGGATGGCTAGTTGAAGTGATTGATCAGATCTCGGAGGAGACATTAACCATGCACCATTCGAGTAAGCTTCAGAAACCGTTGCTTGGAGGTTGATACCCAACTGCATCGGTCCTCCTCTTCCAAAGAAACCGATTAGAGGACCCATGGGGGTCCATGGGTCAAACCAAAACTTCGTTTCTCTTCCACTGCCGATATGAATCCGAAAGAATTTAGAAGCCCAGCTTCTGAGCTTCAACAGACGCCGAAAAGTCCAAGACTGGTTGGCCTTTATAGTGACAGACCAGAAAGAGGCACGTGCTAGGTATTTTTGGTTAATCCAGCCAACCCAAAGAGAACCTGCCCTGAAAAATAAACTCCAGATAAGCTTAAGCGCTGCAATGTCGTTCCATTGGGATAAATTCCGCAAGCCCAGACCTCCTTCTGTTCTTTCCCAGGCCACCCTAGCTCCTCTTGATGGTTCCGTTTTACCTTTCCACAGGAAAACAGAGCATAAAGAGTTTACTTGCTGAATTGTACGTTTTGGAAGTATGAAGGCATTGCACCAGTAGCTGATTATTCCCGATATTACTGAACTCAATAGCTGAAGTCTGCCCGCAAAAGACAGAGAGCTTACAGTCCATGATTCCATTTTACTCCTGATTTTTGCTATCAAAGGTAGGCAATCTGTAGGTGATAATTTCCGAGACGACAAAGGAATTCCCAGGTAGCGGAATGGGAGTTCAGAAGTCTCAATTCCCGTATTTAAAACCAAACGTCGGACCTCATCCAACGAGCATCCCCCTGCATAGAAACTGGATTTTCCCTTATTGATGTACATGCCAGATATGTCTCCAAACCTGTTGAGAGTTTGGAATAAAGCCTCAAGTGAAGGGTCCGACCCATCAGTGAAGACGAGAAGATCATCTGCAAAAGCAAGGTGAGTTATGTTCAACTGCCGACAGCCTGGATGAAATCCCATACGATTCTCAGCAGCCTCTGCATCAAGCATATTTGATAACACAGACATGCTCAGGATGAATAAGTAGGGAGATAGAGGACAGCCTTGTCGCAATCCTCTGGTGCCAGGAAAGAAGCCAAAAAGACCCCCATTGACTGAGACAGAGAAGTGCGGCGTGGTGATGCACGCCTTTATGATGCACGCTTTACATTTTTCTTACTTCTTTGTAATTATACTTATCAATATATATATATATATATATATATACAAATAATTAAAAACCTATTAGATGATGGTCTAGTGGATAAAAAAAAGTTATTGATTTCGATTCCAATAGGGGGAAAGAAGAAACACAATTAATTTCGTGACTAAAAGATGATGTGGAAGCTAAAAAAATATATGGGATGAAAACTCATTAAATTTTATTGTTATAAAAAAATAAAATAAAATATGACCCATTTAGCGTGTCATTATGAGTTTGCTAATATATAGATGTGGAGATCATATTCATTCGGTTTATTTTGTAGTGAAGACAATTCAAGAAACATCATATGATCCAATGAATTTGGGTATTGGTTGTGGAATGCGGCCAACGACCCAATAAATTAAATTGGCATAATGTTTTGCTATTAATTATTTGTGCCGAATGTTTCGGGGCACAGAGAGCGTGAGATGTGACATCCTCCAAAATGGTTTAAATAATGCATCTTCCTTTCACCATTTCCACACCTTTTCTTCTTCTCTTACTTTTCTTGTATTTTGTTTTTTGACAAAGTAAAGATAAATGAAATATCAAATATCTATAATTTAGTTTAAAACACAACTTGAAATTTATGTACACTATATTTATTTTCTCTATATATAGAGAAATAATTTTGGTTATAAAAGATGATAGTTTTTATTTTGTGTTTTTTTTAGTTTTTAGTTTTTTTTCGTAGTATTTATAAATCTAAAAAACAGAGTTTTTAATTTTTCGTTAATAGTTTTAAAATTTTTTAAAAAATTAAATATATAAAATTTTTATTCTGAAAGACCATTTATAACAAATATTATATATAAAAACTAGTTTAATTTATTTTGGCTATGAATCCTCAATGGAGCATGTTAATTTTTTTTTTATATTTTATAATTTTGCTTATATAAACACCAATGCAACGTGTCAGTACATTACAGCACATCTCATGTGTCATCTGTGGCGAGTGCCCGATATTCCAATGGTCAAAGTGGTAATACCATTAGTCCATTACCCTTAAAAAAAAAGAGACATTATCAAATTGAATTCAATGGATGTGACGAAACCGTAATCATTCCAATATATTTTATTGCATTACCCCCATTTATTGGGTTATTTTCTTTTATTCAAAATTATTAATTTGCAAAATGGTTATTGTGTGTATAAAAAAAAAAGAAAAGGTTATATGGAATTCTCCTTATTTTCATTGTTACATACCAATTAGCTTTGAGTTTACATATGTAAATTAAAAGCTCAAATAAATATGATTCAAATAATATAATTTTCGTTGCGTTAAAGTCATAGTAAATAAAATGATTTTTTTAAACAATAAACACTTAATTTAAAAAAATAAGCAAACCAGATGATGACACATACCTTTATAAAAAAAAACAGATGATGACGTGGCGTTTCCAAAACGCTTAAATATATAATTTGTTATTTTATTGCAGCGAATTAGGAAGTCGGTCCAACCTTTGGTGATAAGGTCCAATAACTGAACATCCTACTAATCCAATATTTGTATGACCTTATTATAATTATTATAAAGTTCTTTTTTTAACAATGAATATGTCTTCTACGTGTAGATATTATGGCATGTGGCCACTCCATTTCCTAACAAAATATAATAATTTGCAAGCACTTTTCAAAAAGGAAATAATATATAATTTATATCGTCTTGTTGTTGTGAATATATGTAATTATATTATAACAAAAAAAAGTAATAACACGTGTTCGATTGCAAGCTCGTTAGATCAACTCAATCCCACCAAGAGTCCATTAAGAATTCAAAACCTAATTACTAACGTAATCTAATGAATTGTTTGGTTCTCTCTCTCTCTCTCTCTCTCTCTCTCTCTCTCTCTCTCTCTCTCTCTCTCTCTCTCCGTATAATTTGACGTTAATTGTGGTAGATATTTATACGAAAAAGTTGGGTGAATTCGATTATTAACCGAATAACCGAATCGAACTGAATAAGATATAATCATGTAACCAAACTGAATCTGATATAAAAACCGAACGGCTATAATTTCTATAAATCCGAAAAAATCGAAGTCAAATCGAATCAATTTTAAAAAATAATCGAAAAAACTGAAAATTTTTTTTTAAAAATAAATTTTGTACAAACAAAAAAGATCGAATCCGAATCGAAAAATAACCGAACTGAAATTTATATAAAAATTGAATGATTATAGTTTTTCTATAACCGAAATAATCGAATCCGAATATAACCGAATCGAAATCCGAAATGTCCACCCTACGACAAACTAGACCGAATAAATTTATCTTGAAATAAAATTGTAATCAAATTAAAATTAAATATAAAATAACTAAAAAATATAAAAAAAAAATTAAGTAAATATTTTTTTAATGAAAAGTTTGAACAAGAACTAAAATTTAAATCGAATCAAATTTACAGAAAAAAAACAATACATGAGCATATTTTTAAATAAAATTTTTAAAATAAACCAGCCGAAGCCACTTTATTAATCATTATCACTTATTTTGTGTGTGAACTATATATAGGAACTTGTACCTAAGTGTTCTTGAATACTCTTAACCAGATTAAAATGATAAAATTATATATATATATATACATATATTATCTGTTACAAATCGAAATTCTCGGTGAAATACAAATACAATAATTTTGTAAGGGAAAGATGGAGCCATTAACGTTGAAAATGTGCGATTGAGACTCCCACTATAAAAACCAAAAACAGTCTTCCTGAAATATATAAAAAAGTCAAGTCAAATTCCAATGGTTTCTTTTCTTTACATATGCCTAACGTGATGGTGGTGTGTTATATGTTTATACCACTAATCGTCAAATTTAAAATATTTTTCCAATTTGATCATAGATAATATATATATATTTAAAATATCCAACCGTTGTCCAATTTGAAATAGTTGTTGAGCGTATATAATGATGTAGTTCTTTGGTTTTTGAAAATAAACGAATCATCTTATTCTCACAAATCGCATTAAATATTTTTCCAACGAATTGTTATGATTTTTTATTTTCCCCATGAATTGATTTTTTTGCTGCTTTAATTTTCAAACATTACCAAAAAAAAAAAGGAACAGCAAAGCAGAGAGTGGCCCAAATGTTATTTCTTAAGAAGCCCATAAAACTCTAATTTTGGCCCATCACTATTTAACTATATATTATATTTTTTTCACAAAAATAATTTGTATCGTGAAGTTTGAAGAGATGGTTTTTGGAAAATCGTTAGCTCTCAATCAAAAATCAACTCAAAATAAAAGATATAGTGAACTATATATATATATATATATATATTTATCCAAATTTTTGTGATCCAATGAGAGAACATATAAGCATGTACCTAAATTCAAAGTGTGAGAATTCACCTGGAGTTTTGCGTTATTGTTGTGATAGATATAGTCCGACCATGTTGTAAGCTTCGTAGCCCATTAGGGATGTGAAATCAAGGCCCTTTCTGATACACACAGACTTTATCTTTTCCGTTTGACCATTATACCCTCACTGTTTCGCTTTTTTTGCAAACGGAAGCTCTCGACATTTCCCAACATCCGAAATCTAAGCCGTCGATTCATAATACCCCGAATCCAACGGCCGGTAATGGCTAATCTATTCTCTCTCTAACTGTCCACGTGGCTTGCCTACGTTGTCCGTGCTGAATGTTGTAGACATGATTTCCACGTGTCTTAATACTATTGGATGATGTGTCACTTGGACCCACCTCATTGTGCCCTCTGCTGCCTCCGTCTATATAAATCCGATCCCGTCTATCGTATTCTCTCTCTCAGGGTTGTCCTGCGCGTTCTCTCTCTAGCTCTCTCTGGATCCAAACAGCCACTTTTGCTGCCGCGTTTTCGGTTTCTCTCTCTATTTTATCCGATTCTTCTGGGAGTTCTTCGAGGTGGCTGCTTCTATGCCATTTTGTCGAGGTTTTGATCCGATTCTTCATCTCGTTTTTTGGGCGTTTATCTCTTTGCTGGATAGATAGTTGAACCGAAATCGAGGGCTTTTCTGATGATTTTTGGTTATATGTTTCTCCGATCTAATGATTGTTAGTGGAATTTAATTGGAACGACTCGATTTGGCTGAACGTTTCTGTGTTGTTATTGATTTGAGGCTTAATTTTGGCGTTGCTTGAATTTCTGAAGCAGATCTGATGATTTCAGTTGGTGGGTGGTCTGTAGTTTCTTCCAGATTTTGTATTGTTTCTTATCAATTTGCCATCTGATCTTGTTGTCGTGGTGTTCGTTGAGCCAATTGACTCTTTCCTTCGAAGCTGTGTGAAATACTCGTCAATGGTTGAAACAGTTCGTGAGGTTTGATGTTAGTTTAGGGGATTTGGATTTCAGAATTGGTGGTGCTTTGGTCGTTACCACTGTTCCGGCTGACTATACCCTTCGAGGTTATGGAATTTGTCGGTGAATGATACGGTGAAGGAAAGTGGTAACCAGTTTAGCTGTTTGGTGCCTTCAGTCTTTATATATGATATGCCCTGAACTTTTGGAGGCCAATTCAGTTGTTTTGATTACTAATCGTGTGGAGTTAAATCTATTGCAATCTTTTTGGTGAAAATTTTGTGGGTTTTTTTTGCATCTAGACTGTTAGATTTGGTGGGATATTTTTGTAAGTTGTGGCTTAAACGTCGTTGTGAATGGCTATTGTCGTACTCATTCTAATATTATGAATGCAGAAAATGGGCGAAGATAAGGGCTGTGGGAAATTAGGACGAATGCTTCCAAGGGATAAGTCTGCAAACTCTTATGACGTCTCCCTTCTTTTGTCCCCTGTTGTCTCTGTTTGGGATTGCGTTGTCCGTAAGATGAGGTATTCCTCCATACCGGAGTGGGTGTAGCTCTCTCTGAGATTGTAGCGTTTATAGCAGAGCAAGTTTAGGACACTGTTTAGTTTTAGAAGAAAAGAAAAAGGGGAAAAGGAAGATAAGAGGGGAAAAACAACTAGTTACGTTATGTTTACATTTTAGTGTTTCTTCTTAGGGAAGTCCAAAGGCTACTACAAAAACTTGGGGAGGGGTTTGAAAATCCATCATGAATAACCCGACATGCACGCAAGCTCTGCCCATCCATAGAAAAGTGAAGAAGAAGCAGGTAAAAAATGAACTGGACCGCATCAAGCAAGCAGAGAAGAAAAAGAGGCGGCTGGAGAAAGCTCTCGCAACATCTGCAGCTATCCGTGCTGAGCTAGAGAAGAAGAAGCAGAAGAAAAAGGAAGAACAGATAGAGCTGTATGAAGAAGAGGCAGCAAGGAGGCAGAAGATGAAAGATGAACTTGACTGTATTGAACAAGCTGAGAAGCAAAAGATGCATCTGGAGAAAGCTCTAGCCATCCGGGCCGAGCTAGAGAGGACAAAACAGAAAAGACTGGAAGAACAACAGAGGCTGGACGAAGAAGGAGCTGCAATAGCAGAGGCTGTTGCTTTGCACGTTCTACTCGGGGAAGATGCCAATGATCAATGTCAAATCATGTTCGATGGAGAAAAGGGTTTCAACCCCAACATTAACATGTACATGGGTGGTCGGGCTGAATGCATTCCTCATCATGCCTGCAGCAGTTACGCAGTTCGAGGAATCGGGTTTTTGTCAAATGCTTACGGGTTAGTAGGAAACAACAGTAGCTGGTCACTGCCATATGAGCCTTTCAGAAGGGATAGATACGAGCCATGTTCCGAAGAAGGGGGATGGGGTCAGATGGGTTTATTTTCGGCTGATCTGATTGTCGCACAGGCCGTTTCTTCACTACAGATATCTGAAAATGCTGAAGGAGACAGCCATCTTCTGCGATGGGATGTTCAGAGGGATGACATTAATGTAGCAGAATAATGTTTGTGTGTTCTTCCTTATTCATATATCTTTTGCGTTCTTCAGTGTGGAAATTCACGTTACTGATGTTTGGGGATGTTGAATCAGATGCTGTTTGTTTTGTGCGTACCATTTACTTAGTTTTATACCGATCCTTATGAGGAAACGAACAAACCCTTTTGAAGAAACGAACAAGCCATTCTGTCGGAAGAAAATTCAGGGAACTGAACTGGTCTGAATTGTACAACCGTACAAAGGGTAATGAAATACGAATACGGTTCTTAATAACGTGTTGAAGATTTCAACCGGTAACATGTACAGAAGATTTGCTTTAAAAACCCAATAATGATTGCTTGCTTCATTGATGCAACGTGACATTGGAATCCGGGTTCAGTTTCTGCTTCTGCTGCTGCTGTGATGAATCTTCATCTTCATCCTTGTTCTCGATATCGGTACTAGTGGTGGGTCTGGCACCGCTAATGAGCCCTTTGAGCCATGTTGCTTGAAATCTAGGGTTCCCTCTGTTTGAGTCGTCAGGGGGTCGTTGAGGTCCGCCATTGGTTACGTTCGAAGTAAGACCCGCTAGGAACCGGTATGCCACTTTACTAGCTGAAACTACCTCGGTTTTCGCTTGCCTTAACTGTAAAATGGCCCAATGGCACGGGTTTTTAATCATCCCGGTTTATCAGCACATACAACTATCATACCAATAAATATCGAAGAGAATTCCCTCACCCGCGTAGCTGTGTTACCCGCCACTTCTAAGGCTGCATCGCCGGCATGGGCAAAACGATTCACCCAACCTGCCAATTGTAAACCCGAAAGACAGAACCGGACTAATCAATCACGATCCTCGAAGACAAATACGTGCTATGAAATCTCTCTCCCGATAATGGGGTGCTTACCAGGGAGCTTTTGCACACCAAGCCTATCACAGAATTCATTGCAGAAGTGATTGCAATTTTTGGACAACAAGTCGTACGAGTGTCCTGGCCATTCCCTGCTGAGTTCCCGCAAGATCTGGTTTACCAAGAAGATCGAGCACTCTGTTCTCCCGATGACAATCTTTTCACGATACGCGTACATGGGATTCTCGCTGCTAGGACAACTGAATACACCCGTTCCTTCTTCACAGAACCCGAAAGACCATTCTTCATCTCCGAATACCTGCACAAATTCATAAATTAGTCTGCCCTTATTCTGATTCATATTTACCATACAAGAACTGAAAAAACCATCGGATTTAGAATAAATATGCCAAGTCCACATGTTCTCCAGTGACACCATGGAAACATCAAGTAGAGACCTGTAATTCTGCTGATTTGCAAGTTAAAACTTTGATCAACCACGCCATTTTTTGTAAGCATTACTTCAAATCCGCCAAACATTGAAATCCCTTGGAAAAAATGGACTTCACAATTACTTTTCTTTTCGCCATGGAAGTCATGAATCATGTTGGAAGTAAACAGTAACCATTGACAAGTGCCTCACGGGACTCGATCGCATTTCACTGTCACTCTGAATGGAGGAGAAAACGAAATTGAACTTCCAGATCTTACAGAACCACAAGAACATAAACCGTATAAAGCCATGACAGAGAACCAGTTCAAGAGCACATAAAAACCGACATAGATTCAGCAAACGCAAGCAAGCGAACAAACAAACCAACAAATCCGACATATAATCAGCAGAAAATCGGACCGGAGGAGTACCTGAATGGCGCTGTGGAAGATGCCTCCAAGACCGATCCCGTCCTTGAAGATTCTGTTGATCTGAACAATGGTGTTGTTAGTCTTCTCCGATCCGCTGTTCGTCACATCGTATATATGCAGTACAACCTCAGCCATGATTCTCACCACCAGAAACCCTAGCCCGGACCCGGAGGCCGAATCTGACGCCGAAAAAGCTCGAAGTTTCGTCCTACCACTTCGATGAAGACGAAGACCCAACGATTCATACAAAATCCACTTATCCTCGACAATCCCACTACTCGATGTCTCCAAAATCCCTGCAGAGAGCAACCCTCGTTTCTGGATTTTTGTCCGTAGCGAAATTGGGATTTTATTATTTGCTTGCGATTTCAGATTTCAGACATGGGAGAGGTAGACAGAGACTGGTGCTGCGGTGATGGACGGTGGGCTGTAAAATGACCGCTATACCCTCATACCTTTTATCGGTAAAACGACGGCGTTTCATATCCCAACCGACACTTTGGGCTTTAGGTAATGATTTTATGCCCACGTTCGCGTCCAGATTTACCGGTTTACCATTGCTAAACCGATTCTGCCTTTTTCCCCCTCAATACGACGGATCCGGAAAATTCTCTCCTACCGGATTTTGATCGGAAAAGCTGCTCCAGTTCGTCTTCCATGTCCAGAGAATCGAACGTTAGTTCTGTGAGTTACTACAATGGTGATCCTGTTGTTTTCCTCCTAATTTTTTTTACCTTTTCGATTCGAATGATTTGGTATTCTTAGGGTTTTTCTTCTGTACAGCCGTCTTGTTAGCAGTTTGAATTTCTCGAGCGATTTGTGTTGTTTGTCGTAGCAATGAAGACAGAAAGAATGTGAGAAGAAGTTTAATGTACTATTCGTTCCGTTTCTTGTTTTTTTTTTTCACGTGGGAGTTAGGGTTTTTGTTTTTCATCCATTTTCAGCTTCCTGGTCGCCTCCTGTTTGAATTTTCTTTGAAGGGGTAAGGATTATACAGCTTACCTGGTTAATCGATGTTCTCGAGTTCATCAGACTCGTGACGGGCGGTAGATTTTACTACAAGTGATGATCTCAATAGCTAAAAGCTCTTCTCGATATATTTATAGTTTAAGAGTTTGTATTTCTAACATGTAATGGGGGTTTTAGCTTTATGCTCAAGTGTCTACATATAAACTGCAGGTAGATTTCCTTGGAACATGAACTCTCTGTCGTATGACATTGTTTCATCGTTTGTGAATGATTGGTTCTTAATTGAAGATCAGGTTAATCATTTACTAGTGTATATCCAAGATTCCAAGGAGAAAAAGGCTTGTATAGTGTTGAGTTGCTTATTTGCAGGTGGTTGAATACAGTTTTTTAAATTCTTGAACTTGAAGGCCGGAATTAATTTATCGATCTATTTTTTTTTTTTGACAATTTTTACTATGAATTTTGAGTGAAATACTGTGAATTTGTGATCCTATTTATTTGTGTCAAATTATTATCTTCAGTTGTTTCGTTCTTGCTCTCCGTACAAGATACTTTTTGGTTAGATTATATGTTGAGGTCCAAACTGGTAGTGAAACATGTTATTCTAATGTTCCTGTCTTGTTTGCCAATTTTGTATTACATTGCATTGTGTCCAACTCTAAGCAAGCAAATATGCTGCAGGATACCAGCGGCTTCGCTGATGAAAAGAGTGAGAGCAGATTATTTGTCGGGAATCTTGATCTAAGAATAAACGAGTAGGGTAAACTTTGTGAAAGATTTTTTCACCTATTGCCTCTTCTCTTGTGATAATGCAGCTTGTTATTCCCCGAGCTCATAGGCCTTGTTTTGGTTTTGCTTGATCTTTCTTGCAGAGCTGCACTAATAAAGATGTTTTCTCCTTACGGGAAGATAATATCGGAGGATTTCCTATGGCACACACGGGGGCCAAAGAAAGGGGAACCGCGTGGATATGCGTTCGTCCAATACAGCCGTAAAGAGGTAACTAATCTGCTCGGTCGGTTTTAATCCCTTGTGATTGAGTTCCATCAGAGGAAGTAGAGGACTGAAAATGGTGGCTTATTCAGGATTTTTTTGTATGATTCATTTGAAGAAGTGGGCTTTCGATTTTTCTGGATAATGGGAAAAAAAATCCCGCAACGGTAAATCCCCGTGCTTGCCTTCTCGTGTGAAGAAGCATCTGCTGATTTCTGTGTATAAAAGTGAGTACTCAGGAGGCGGAATTGGCGAAGGAGAAAATGCACGGGAGATTAGCGTGTGGGCGACCTCTGGTGGTGCGACTGGCCAACGAGAAGCATATGGAACAAACGACTAATGATCAATTGAAAGGGTCATTACCAGAAACGAGCAGAAGCAGGCATGTTTGCGGGAATATGATGAGCCGGGAAGAGAAGACCCCCGCCATTAAGAACAAACTCAAAGCTTTGGAGGAGGAGGAGGTCCAGAAAGGAGATTCTTCCAAGAAACGGAAGAAAGAATGTGACAAAAGGGTGTCTTCAGAAAATAACTCTTGGAGCCACTGAGATTTCGATGTTATTATCATCATGAAACATTTGATATTTGATGTTTCTAAGTATTTGTAAACATAAGAAGAGGGGGCAGAGTTCCAATATCCTCGGAACCGACAAACTGTTAGTAATGTTGGATTTTGCAGTGCCCATTGTTCTTCCTAAACCTTGGCTTGGCACAACGGTTGAGGTCTTGTAGTTATTATCTAAAGCTTATGAATTCGAGTACTAATTATTTTAGATGTAGAATATTTTGGAAGGTTAGGTTTATGGAGGTCAACTAAAACAGAACTCTTTTTGTGAACTAAAGAAGGGAATTTAGGAGTTGTTTCTATTAGGGTGGCTTAACCAGGATATTTCGGTTTTAAAAAAACTATAATCATTCGTCTTTTATATTGAATTTATTTCGATTCGATTTGGTTATATTTAGTTCAGATATAAAAATTATTAATTTTTAAAAAAATTATCCGTTTTTCGGTTATTTTTTATTTGTTTCGGTTTTTATAGTCTTTGATTTGAAATCTAATTAGGTTCGATTGTAATTATGAGGTCCAGGTAATCGACCAAATAAAGCCCGTAATTAGAGTGAATATATTTTAGATATTCTCGAGGTAAAACCGTAAAAAGTAGTGCTGTATGAGTCTACTCTCCGTTACCAGTACGACCCCGCCTAATTCTCTTTCTCGTTTGTGCAACTGATTCGATATGGCGTGGAGACTGCCGTTCCTCAACGCAACCTCGATTCCTCCGCCGTCTCCGGTGCCGGACCGTCGGCATTCTCTCGGCATTTCCCGCCAAAATCGCCGGATCCTCGCGGCGAAGCTCAATTCTTCTCCGGCTCCGTTCTCGCTTTCCCCTAGCGGGAGTGGGAGGTTTCTGGCGCCGGAGGAAAAGCTAGGATCGATCCGATCGGTGCAGGCGAGATCGCAGTTGAGCTCCCCTCTCATCTCTCCCAACGACCAATGGGGAACCTGGACTGCTCTCTTCGCCACCGGAGCTTTCGGTCTTTGGTAATTCCCCCTTCTCTCTCTCTCTGTACTTTGGCCCAATTAGTTTATCTGATCGGAAATTTGATTCCGTTTCTCGTCGCTTCTCCATTGTTGCTGAAATCTGTACGCATATTTTGCCTTTTCGATGGAATTGCCTTCCCTTAATTGCTTCTGGTAAAACGCTGTAGCGTATTTGTATGGCAAATCGGTGTTCTTGAGTCACGTGCTGGTGATTGTGCTCTCCAAATCACAGGTCGGAGAAGACCAAAATTGGAAGCACCTTGAGTGGGGCGTTAGTCAGCACTTTAATTGGGCTTGCAGCTAGCAATCTGGGCGTCATCTCGTGCGAAGCTCCTGCTTATTCAGTGGTCTTGAACTTTTTGCTTCCCTTGGCCGTTCCTTTGCTGTTGTTTAGAGCAGATTTGCGCCGTGTGATTCAGTCCACTGGAAAGCTTCTTCTCGCTTTCTTGATCGGATCAGGTAATCGAAGAGTTTATCTCTTAACACTGTCATTTGCAATGTGTAATCTTGGAATGTGGATGCATTAGTATGATTCTGGGTTGCCAGAAGTTCTGATCATCGGCTTTTTGTCGATTCACAATAGTTGCAACGACAGTCGGGACGGCTTTGGCCTACTTTCTGGTACCGATGAGGTCACTCGGCCCAGATAGCTGGAAGATAGCAGCTGCCCTCATGGGAAGGCATATAGGCGGAGGTAAAGATCCATGTCTTTTGATTGTGTTCCAGTTTCTGGAATGTGGAAACTGCTGGTCTTTGTCTGCTTTCTTTACAGTTTCCATGTAAGGGCTGACATGTTGTACTCTTTTTTTTTTCTGTTGTGTAGCTGTCAACTATGTCGCTATTGCCAATGCTCTTGATGTTTCACCATCAGTATTGGCAGCAGGACTGGCTGCTGATAATGTAATATGTGCAGTATACTTCACATCATTGTTTGCTTTGGCCTCAAAGATCCCTGCAGAGTCCTCACCTTCACCAGCTAGTGGTAAGTTGAACATTGCTATCTGTTATCTGGTCAGGTTTGGTAATTTCCTTAAACGGAATCATTTGATCTCTTTCTCTATATTTGTGAGCTTCTTCTGCAAGCTCGAGTGTTACAGAATCGTGGGTTTCTCACCTTTTTTTTTTCCTCGTCAATTCTAGAACGCATTTGCCCTGCTACCCATTGAAGGCATTGTCCTCGGCACATGAGTTAGCATGTCTTGTGTGAGCTGAATTTCAGTTAATAGATTAACCAGATGATGTTCATTGCAGATGTGGAGACGAAAAAGGCCGGTTCTGAAACCGGAAATAAAATTCCCGTTCTGCAGATGGCTACAGCCATAGCAGTGTCCTTAGCTATATGCAAGGCAGCGACTTACCTCACAAAGTATTTGGGAATAACGGGTGGGAGCTTGCCCGCCATTACTGCCGTCATAGTTGTTCTGGCAACCGTCTTCCCATCCCAATTCGGTCATCTCGCACCTTCTGGAGAGGCGATGGCCTTAATTCTCATGCAGGTTAGCGAGCGAGCGTGTTCATAACGGATGATAGATAGATAGATAGATAATTCATAGCAATATAACCGTAAAAATGTAACCTTTGAGGGATTGTGTGAAACCGAGAGCAGGTGTTTTTCACGGTGGTGGGAGCGAGCGGAAACATATGGAGCGTGATAGAGACAGCACCGAGCATATTCATGTTTGCACTTGTCCAGATAGGGGTTCATCTCGGGGTGATTTTGGGAATAGGGAAGCTATTCGGTATCGAGCTGAGGCTGTTGCTGCTGGCATCAAACGCAAACGTGGGAGGACCCACGACTGCAGCGGGGATGGCCACTGCTAAGGGATGGAACTCTTTGATAGTTCCTGGTATTCTTGCTGGCATTTTTGGTATCGCCATTGCTACTTTTCTCGGTTACGCTTTCGGTGTTAAAGTTCTTCAGTTCATGTGAAAGGCTTCGCTCTCTCTGTTGGATTGCTGAACAAAATGCCTCCTTTGCTCATAATCCCATCCTCTTAAATATCTCGTCAGGCGATTCATTGCTCATTAACTGGAACTGGAAAATTTCGTAACCGTTCCGTTGCGGAAAGAAAATTTCACTTCTTTTCCTTGAAAATACGATGGAATCCTTTCACGTAAAAAAGGGACTGTGAGAATCTAAAAAGAAACAAAGTTGTTTTTTTTAAAAAAAAGGACAAACCTTTGGCCTAGAAAGAAAAAAAAAAGGAACTCCTCTACTGCTCAAAACCAACCAATGGGCGGGCATTACGACCAAATGCCCCAAAGCCAATGGCACCAACCCCTCTCTTCTTATGATTCTGCTTCTATTGTTTACTTAGTTAAACCCCCAACCAAAAGCAAGGAAAGAAACCAACAAAAGAAACGTCATCAATGGTTATGATTCATGGCGACCAGTTGCTGTCTGTGTCTGTGACGACCACAGACGCAGACTCTTGTTCTCCGTTAAACCTGAACCGTCGGATGTTACGGTCAGCTGTCTTTGGGTAACGTTGTTGCTATCTCTCCTCCGCCTTTGTCCCTCTTCCTCCAACCTTTTCTGTCTCATCATTGGCCTGAGGTGATGATGATGATGTTCCCTTCTCATGGATGTCCCTCCATTATCCAATCTACGCATCCTTCCCGGCGATCTCCTTTCCCTGATATTGTTTCCCTGGTCGTTGCCCCTTCCCTCGAAGAACCTCGAATTACGTGGTGGAGGCGGAGACATCCGATTTCTTTGCGGAGACAAGAACCCTGTCTCTTGGTGGTCGGATGGAAATCGCCTCTGGAACGGCATCCGATCATCAGCTCTGAATCCGGGAGGAGATCTGTTCCGATTGTTCCATGATGAGACCGGCGAACGGCTTCTCGATATCGACCAAGATCTACCGTAGGGTTGAGGGTAGTGCAATCTCCTGTAGACGGGAGAGTTGCTCCTCTCTCTCTTACTACCAACGATCCGACGGTTCACCCGACCAGAGTACTCGTTGGGAAAGCCTCGAACCACTCCTCTCAAGTCACGATCTCCACCGTCGGGGAGCCGTCTCTGGAACTGACGACCCCTATAAACCCCACCCGAAACCTGCCTACGTACATACCCCTCTGGTCCTGGCCCTGGCCCTGGCTGATCAAAGGCGTTCATCAGATCTCGGCCCTCCACCATGCTTTTTGGCCGGGGATTCCCAAAACTGTAAGAACTGCCTTCGTAGTATGTAGGGGAAAGACGGCGTCGGGAATCCCATCGACTGAAATGCCCTCTCCCGGGGCTCCGGCACTTCATATGCATCCCAGATCTGAACCTTCCCACAAACTTGTCTGATCCATTATCCCTCTCATTGGAATCTTCGTAATTATCGTACCTGAAACAGAACGATTTGTTAAAATCAGCAAATGAACGTATGTACCTTAAACACGTTAACAAAAAATGAAATGTTAAAAAAGGGCCAGAGGCTTGCCTTCTCCGCCAAATCTTATCATGCGAAGGCAACCCCTTGAATGGTTTTGAAGAAAATCTCCCGAAAGGAGAAGAGCCACCTTTCACATGAGAATCATTCAAGCACACCACTACATGCTTCTCTACATCACTTCCTTCATTAGTCTCTATGGTCCTTGGTGGATCTCGAGATTCAGAATTTACGGGTCTTGAATTCGTCCCTGTCACGATTCTCTTGTCAACACCATCCAGTTTACTTTCATCGACTTCACCCAAAAGGTCGAATCTTTCACCCTCAGGTTCAGACCCATAATCCACCTGTTCAACCTCTCCGGCATCACCCTCGTTTTCTTCCCAACAAGGATATGGCTCCCTCAACTCCCCATCCTCAAACTGGGAATCACAACCAGATTGGGACTCGTCGTTTTTAGCAGCTGCTTCAGCATTAGACCCAAAAGGCGATGATGGGATGTTCAGATGCCCATCAGATGAAATCACCGCACCCACATGGCCTTTGCTACTGTTGGTAGGTTCAGTCTCCATAGGGGAAACAGTCTCTGTGACTTCTCCCTCTGCATCACAAGGTTGACCCCAAGCATCCATGGACAGATTCAAATCCCAATACAACCGACCGTCTTTTGACTTTTCTGCTCTCTGGTCGGTAGCTGTTTTCTCTGACACTCCCACAGTATGGTTCTGTGGTGCAAGCTTTTCGCTTTCATCAGCTTCATTCTCCTCTTGCCTTTCTGTTGAGGATTCATTGGAAACAGCAACACTGTTGTTTTGATACACCATCTCTCCAGAAAGCACTCTGCTTTGCTCTCCTCTGTGGACATCGACAGAGTCATGATCCAAAACATCAACTGAACTTCTTTGAGGCATTACAATTTCACTCTTGTCTTCCGCAGCCTGGTCTCTAGATTCGTGAACAGTGTCTTCCTGGAAGATGGTAACAGTCGCATCTGATGAAGCATCGCCTTCCACATGGACAGATAATATCGAGGGATTTCCTTGTTCAGCAG